CACAAAAGAGACAGCTAAAAGAGAGTATGTGTAATGCTACATTATATTGGGAGAGTCCTGGCCTTTTTTCAGATTTTTGTGTATGATATACACAGATCACCCAAGCTTGAAATATAAGCATTAGTACTGTTGTGCAAAATTCAAACTTATTAACAATAGGTTTTCATGTTGGTATGAAAAGCTATCCGACCAGTATAGTGTCAACATAGCCTTCGTCTGATAATGCAACAATATTACCCTTATCATAGGCAAATAATTATTATTTGCCTATGATAAGGGTAATATTGTTGAACTATCAGACGATGGCTATGTTGACACTATACTGGTCAGATAGCTTTTCATACCAACATGAAAACCTTTCTGGTATAGTATGAACATCTATCTTTAGATTGGGACGGCGCAGCTTTGCTTTGTTACAGAAATCATACTGAAATCACTACTGTTATGTAGGAACAGAAGCCATATCTGGTATGGTTTTTGTGCCAACACGAAAGCTACATGGTATAGAGTGAACATAGCCAAAGTCAAGGGTATTAAGCAGCAACACGCAGATTTATTTCCAGTTGTCATAGCCTGCGTAGCATGGTGGTTTTGGTTGGGCACGCTAAGTAATAAAGGCGGGCGAGGGAAGAGAAACCATGAGGAGATTGGGGCGGGAGCAACCTCGTGGCTTTGCCGCTCATTCTTGCGCACTTCGCGCATGAATTTCGTGGCTTCACCACTCATGCGCCTGGCTCAACAAAACCGCCATGCTACACAGGCTACAGTTGTCACTTTTATATTCTCTTCACCCAACTGGAGAGAAGCAACGACTGCAAATACAACTGCAACGGAGCTAGGTGATTATAGCAAAATATGATGCAATCCTCCACCAATCAGAACACAAAAAATTCAGGATGGGAAAGAAAAGAAGTCAAATGCCTGGTGTATGTCTGTTGAGGGGATGTTGAAGATTCGATTTGACTGATATATTACAGCAACAATCCCTTATTTCCCATACAAATCATTACATTTCGAAAGAACAATGCCAATGCTCATTTATATTTTGAGCTTGGGCTACCTGTGGTTTTACAGTAATCATTTGAGGATAATAACCGTTATAGTTGCCAAAATCATGCATACACTTTCCTGATTATCTGCATCAAACACTACTTATGTCAGCTTTTGGTGTATGAGGAATAGTCTGATTTGAGGTTGCTCCCTGCACGAGTAGTACATGTAGTTTTACGCTACAAAATATTACCAAAAAAAAAGGTCTGTCAAAGCATGTTCAGTCATGTCGTATCCTCAAGCCTGAACCAAGAAATCGCATCAGTTTCGTAAAATTTCTCAAAATCAACAATCTTATATCCCTGACAGATCAGATCAGTGCAGGAATTAATAATTAATTATCATTTATTATTTTTTTTGCTGATCAGAAAGCCTGCATCAAAGTCCCCTGTATGTGCGTTACGCTCCTGGGGCACGTAAAATAACATCACGTGGATGAAAAAAAAGTAGTATCAAACCGATTTTCCATGAAACAACACAAAAAATTACGCTAATTCAATTAAACCAACTAAAGAACAGTTATAAAAAGGGCTGACTTTAACTCCCGCTCGTTCTGTAAAACTTCGCATCTGCGGCAAGTTGTCGCGAGCAAGTCGGCCTCGACTACGTCGAATTTGCTCCAGATCTTGTGCATTAGTTTGAAGGGTGTTCAGTGCCTTTACTGCATCCTGAAATAAAAAATGTAGATACAGTACAATTAAGAACAAGACAGAAAGCAGTTTAAGCATTCTAATACAAAGGAATCTCACGAACTGCAAGGGCATGCTTCGCCCAGCTGCTTTCGAGAACGATGTACAACGAGACAGACTCGATAAACCTCCAGAACATTTCATTTTAACTTACCTCGTAACTTCTTTGTTGCATAATTTCCGCCGTTCTATGAATCGCCGAGGAAAAACGACGAGAAACGGTGAATTTCCAAATCTTCACCATGAAAACAACTTCATGTGCACATGTATTGCCATTACACAAACCGCGCGTGAACGACAGGGGAGACTGGCACTAGATAGGAGAGCAAAACACGCGGGAAGGGTGGAACCCACGAAAACCCACGCTAGGTTTAAACGCTAGGTATTCAGGGAATTTAACGCTAGGTATCCTGGGAGATCCGGATTTTGGGAAATTTTAAGGTTACTCAATAATTTTTTCCAAACCCCACTTCGCTCTCCAAGACTTTTTTAATGCTACAGGACATCTCTAACGTAATTTGCCTCACAAAATCTTCTTTAAAGGTAAAAACGATCATCGCAGTTGTAGACTCAGTGGCAAAAGAAAGCCTGAAACGAAGCAAAAAAGTACCCTGCCTTTCAAATGACAAGAGCACTTCACCAGCATCCCAGAGGTCAAGGGTTCATATCCCGTATAAGCCTGAATTCTTTACAGGCTCTCCATTTTGCGACTTCAAAGTCCAAATTGTTCTTCAAGCTACCAGGGGTAACAGTACGACCATAACTGGAGAAATAATACAATAAGCAAGTCAATGAAATTTCAGTGAGAAGGTCGACGATACGCAAACCATTAAAGGGACACTTTCGGTACCAAGGCAAGTGTCCCCTGAATGGGTTTGGGGTGGGGTCTGTTGATAACATCTTTCTTTTATTCTGCCTCGGAATCTGAAGCAGTCAAAAAAGACATTTAGAATGACGTTTCAGATTCAAGTTGAGAATTTCTCAAAATAGAAAACGTGCAGCTAAACACAGTCCAAAACAACCTTTATAGACAAAATTAACTTGAAGCTACTAATTTACGGATAGTTCATGTTGTGAAAGTTGTCGTCATTGTGACTGGTGTACACTTCAACATATCAACGCTCTTTGTGGTCAGTCACTATTTAACTGCTAAGGTGTACCCTAATGGCGAACAAATTAAACCCAGGTTTCGGTACAAAGAAAGTGTCCCTTTCCCATGAATAGAGGTGTCCCTCTGACAAAGGTAACAGATAAAAACATTTGTGAACATTTGTCTGGGACCAACTTTGTGTCCCCTGACTGGCGGCGTCCAAATGGAGCGGTTCCACTGCATCAACACAATTTTACTATCTTTCTAAACTGGGCTTTCACTACTCATTCCCACTTAAAAAGAGGGACAAATTCTACTAGGGTGCTGCAAAACCTCTTTATTCCTTCCCTGCATCCCATGCAACCTTATCACCTCCCCAACATAGTTCCCAGGGTTCTCTCCTAATAGGCCATTTTCACGATGACGACATTTGACTACAACTACCAGGATTCATTTCGTTTTTGCTTTGTTATTGAAATTTGTCAATCCCGCTGAGGATTAAAGAACAATAGTCCTAATTTGCACAAGAAAACAACAAACTGAAGGATTCTGGTAGTTGTAGTAAAATGATGTCATCGTGCAATTGTCCTATTGTCAACCAGAAGAAGAGAACCCTAGGTTTGTCACTTCCCATGGTAATGTGCATAGGAATGTGTGCTTTCCATGTGTTAAATCATAGTTAATTGAGTGGAATGGTTATGAAACCCGTCAGACTCCTTTGTTATATGTTTTTGTGGACCTGAAAGTGCACAACGTTCAAAAGAATTCCTATCATTTTGTTTGTATTGACCAATAAAAACGTTGCATTATTATATTCCGTAACAATTTGCCAACAGAAAACAAAGGATTGTGCACTTTCAGGGTGCTTCCAACATAAACTGCAGCACTGTTGTTTTTATCATCGATGTTTGCCGCTTTTCATAACCAGTCTCCTCTAATAACTATGGTTAAATGTATCAGTTTTAGTTCACTTCCTTTCTGGTGGATTTCTTACCCACAAAGGGCCAATCATGGGATCTAACTACTTTTAGAAAAAGACCAATTCCAGATGACTAATCATTATCCTTAGCTTTGAGTGCCGGAGGTAAATACTAATTTATATATATATATATATATGTATTTTTTTTTTCTTCCTTTGCTCTTTTATTTTCTTTTGTTTTGTTTTTTTTTCTTTTTGTCATTTCGCTTTTTTAGCCTAGAACTAGGATTAGTACGACTATCTAATGTACTTATTTTAAGATTTACTGTAGCTCTGCCATTGATTTTCCCGTGTGTAATTATGATAATATTTTGTTCTAATTATCTAACTGAGGGAGCCCATTTCTTATAAGCCCGGTGGCTTCTCTTGAACTTCCTCCCCATGAGAGTTAAGGTAATTAGATTTTATTTGATTTGTTTAATTTTTGGCAAACAAAACAATAAACAATAAACAATAGGTACAGGATAATTAGAATTAGGGGAGATTACACTAAAAAAGATTAATAAAATTGTGCGTGGGTGTACTCCGTTTTTTTACTTTAGTTCAACCAACTTCAAACATTTAAGACAACTTCATTTATTCCACAGAATCAGTAAAAATACACAGTAATAAACAAAATTAAGAAGATAACGAAAAGAAAATGGCTGTAATATGGAACAAGTTTAAAATGTCTCTAGCTGAGAATGGTGTCTTGAATCTCTTTGGTATTAACATCTGTTCTACAGAGTAGCAGAATTCCTCTCAAGTCTGCATTTGCTTCTGCTTCGTTGAACAAAACGGCAAATAAATTGATGATGCACAGCACGATCAGCGTCCTTGTTCAACTGTTACAAAAAATAAATGAAATTACAATTAGTCTACTCAATCTTCAAAATAGAACAACACTCTTAATCATCATCACCAGTATATGACAGGCAAGAGTCACTGAAATGTGAATGAAAGTTCTATTTAGAAAAAGGATACTTTAGATGCTATTTGCAGAGTTTTTTGTCTAAGAAATAATGTTCTATGAGTACATAACCTTACTGTTAAAAGGTTGAAGGTTAAAGGTTTGTTAACAGTGGAAAGTGCATTTCGCTTATCCAGCTAGTTTACAGGCACTCCACTCAAATAATTGTGAAACAAATGATGCACATAGAAGATAACCCTTTAAGCCCCAATATCCACATACAAATTCTCCAAACTGATATGAATATCGTTAGGAGAAAATTGCTGTTGGACACTGTTGGGACTTAAAGGGATAACACGATTTAAAACCCCAACTGGTGGCAGGCTGCAGCAGTTTGCTCTACACAAACATGGCCCTGGATTTGAACTCGGAAGGACAGAGAACAACTCCAGCAAGTGCAAGTGACCAGAGCGGGAATCGAACCCGGGACTGCCGGATTATGAATCCAACAAACTGACCACTCAGCCACGTTGCCTCCTCCGTCTTTCTACCATAGAGGATAAAATATGGGCACTTTGTTGGTAGTACCCATGAAAAGCTTAACCAAGAACTACAAAAAACAAGCAACACCTTAAACCAACAAGATTCAGACGAAATGTCACTTTTGCAGGAATCACAGTAGGTCTACAACAAAAATTAACTTACTGTATGTTGAAAGGTCAATTTCCTCGGGGAGTTCTCCTACATTCACTTCAAATCGATCTTGAACTTCATTCAATATCTTGGCATCTTTTTCATCTGATACAAATGTAATGGCAAGACCTTTGGTACCAAAACGTCCTGCTCTTGCAACCTGACATTAAGAAATAAGTGAAAAAGTATAAGCAAAAACTTTAGCAGCAAAGGAATAAAGACTCTTCTGCACTGTAAATGCTGTAACTTTAGGGCACAATGTTCTGTTGAGTTAAAAATTACTGCCACCCATCAACTGTTCCACAGCACAGATCACTTCTACAGTGCTAACATCATGACTCATGCACAAATGATATTTCAACACAACATTAAATGTTTGATAAGTTAAGTGCAATATTATTAAAAGATGTGCTAAATAAAACACTATTTGTTACCAATGGCATTGATATCTCAACAATCAAACTTTTGACTGCAAAAGTTTGATTCTAGTCTAATGTTTTTTGGAAAATAATTCCTGTTAGATTTATTTACCCTGTGAAGATAGGTATCAGAGTCTTCAGGCATGTCGTAGTTGAAGACAATATTCACTCTCTCAATGTCCATTCCACGGCCAAACAGGTTGGTGGCAACCAGCATTCTCTTGGAGAAATCTTTAAACTCCTTGTAACGAGACAGCCTGACAACAAAAGAAAATAACCAGGGCATGAATAAAAAATTGGTTAGAAGGTTCTTATAAAAAAATACCAAGAAGAGGGCATCCAGCAATCGATTTTCTTCGTGAAATGTCTGGAAATGAGTGACAATTTTTTTACAACAGTCAAGTGTGACTAACCTTTCTTCCTGCTTCATATCTCTGTGGATACAAATGGCTGGGAAGTTCTGTTCAACCAGTAGCCCTGCCAAAGCCACACAGCGATAAACTGTCTTGACAAAGATTATGACCTGTAAAAAAGGCATTATTAACACCAATTTCACTACCCGCAATAAACAACAAACATTCTCTTTAAAAACAGGCAGAGTTGGTACCTGTCTTTCCGACACATCGCTACAGAAATTTACCAGACACATCCCAGTGTTCAACTGACCACTTACTACAGGTTTGACAAAACTAAGAGTTACTCAACAAAATAGAGAAAGTGAAAAAGCATATTTTTTATAGCACCACAAGTTGACCTCAACATGTTTCTACCTCTTCTTATCCAAAAAAAGGAAGTAAAAGACCAGTGGATGCCTTGTATCTGTTACTGCTACATCTTGACATAGTAACCAGTTAGTAGAGGTTAAGACAATGAAAAGTAAATTGTTGGGAGCACAAAAGAGCTGATGGCTTATCCAGGTTAATGCAGGTCTGTATAATGCAGATTTAACTGTGTTTAAAAAAGGGAGGGAAAATCATAGTTCAGAAATTGACCCCCTAAAGGTGTCTCCCCAAAAATGCAACTGTCATACATTCTTTCAGATATAACAGGGGCATTTTTAATTTTTAGGGAGATACATTGTTACTACAATGCATCCTTGCATCTAAGCAAAAGAAAAAGTATAAGTCATTGTTAATACCAAATTGTTCCTTATGTTGTGAAATCATTTGCCCTGCATATCCTGTACGATATCACCTATCACTGCACGATATAAAAAACTGCAAATTCTCTGTCCCCAGGATATATGGTTAAACACGATTAAGTCAATACCTGATTAAACTCCAACACGTCTAAAAGGTCAAAAAGCTTTCTATTCTTCTCCTGGTCTTTGAGTTTAACATAGTACTGTTGAAGGCCATGCAATGTGAGCTTTGTTTCATCATCAACATAAACTTCCATGGGCTATTTGTGAGAAGAGAGATGAGAATAACAATCCTTACCACAATAGAGGGTAAAAAACAACACAAGAACATTGCAAACCTGTGTGCCTGACTGTACTTTTCAAGCAATGACAACAAATCGTAACATGAAGGATAATTACATGTGTTAGTTAGAGTAAACTACTACTACATTCTTGTTTGAAGCTCACTTTGGCAGTGCTGTTACATTTCCTTTGCCAATGCAAAAAAAAAATACACTCCAAGCTACACAGGCATAAAATAGAATTTGATCACTAAAAACAGATCTTAGTAATAAAGAGGTTTTTTTTACATTCATCAAATTAGCATGAAATCAAACAAAAACAGTTTCAGCTCCAAGTTAAGTAAAACATCAAGTGTCACAAATTCAGTATTCCCTGCAACTAGAATTTTGTTCTGTTGCAAAAACTCTTTCTGTGCAGGATAGCATCAGTACAAAATACGTTCAATAGCCAAAGAGTTGCTATTGTAACGAAATCAAACAGTAAAGGAAAAAATGGCATTTTCGTTTAATCTGGTTTTAGTGCCACTTTGGAGCTGAAAGCAATTCACATGGAGAAAAGGTCACATTGTCCTCAGAGTCAGGGCTGGCTAGGGTAGGTTCCCGGAGATGAAACCAACTGACATCATCTGACTTGGTGTCATGAGCTCCTCCCTGCTTGAGTTAGCTCGCTGAACCATCATGATCAAGACATCTCACGATCTGACCACGAACAGCTCTTCAAGGCATCAAGGTCGAGTGATGAACATGGCAGGCATGGCACTTCCAAGCAGAAGGGTAAGCTAAGATTTGTCATTCCAATAACATCACCAAAGCCCATTACTACCATCCAACACAACAACAACTGTAGCCCATGACATCAAGTACACCCAATAATAACACAGACACACCAATCAAGTATACACCCAACAATAACAGACACACCAACGCTTTCCAAACCAGCAACTATTCAGTCACAAAAAAATAACCACCTCGCCAACTGAAAACCTATCAGCACTACCCCTCATAGCTTTCCAAACTATATCAAAAGACGATTCCTTTCTTAGGACTTGTAACTTTTTCCATTTTTTCAATTTTTCCACCATTTTGTTGGACCAACAAAGCTTAAAACATGCACAAAAGCAAGCTAACTAGCACCCAAATGGGAACCTTCTACAAGGAAGTGCCAAGCGTGCCTGTAGGCTTAGGAAGCAGCATGCTTTGTCATCATCTCCTTCACAAGGATGATGAATGCTCAACAACAGACTTGACAATGGAACTTAGGAGGTATAATTACATCTTGCATAAACTTCTTGCAGACAGGACGGATCTCTTTGGCAAGGGTGGCACTGAACATCATAACTTGCTTCTCGTGCGGTGTCATGCGGAAAACTTCTTGGACATCTCGTCGCATATCTGGAATAAACATGATAAAGTATATGAGTGAATAATAAGAAAAATGACAGTAAATCAGGACTACATACAAAAGGAAAGTAACGGTCAGAATTCTTTAGGGTAAAGAAGGAACATATGTACCAGATTATTGTAAGGCAACAATAATGGACATCAAAAGTGAGGAAAAGTTAAATCATTTCTTTAAAAAAAATTCTGCCCTGCTCTGCTAGGAGCAGTGAGAGGCAATATGAAGCTTGATAACCAGGTAAGGGACAAATGGTAAAACCCAGTTTCTGTAGCAAAATGGATCCAGGAGCATAAGCTACTACACCAAAATGGAATTTCATACACCTTCCGGTTTCTTCTAACATTATGATGCTAATTCACAGTCATTTATAGTGGGTGGGCTAAGTAAATATAAATTAAATGTTTGTGCATCAGGAAATGACTCAACGAAAATGTCAGGGCTTCTGGTCTGAGGTTGAAGACAATAAACATGGTGTTTAATACCACCACTAAGTCTGTAAGAGATATAGAAAGGTAAATTTCTTAAAAATATTCGAGACTCCCAAGACACAAAATCACCCAAAACTGTGACTTCAAAATCTATCACAAATGCTTGAACCAAGCTTTTGAGATCAGGCCAAAAATTTCCAAGGCACACATTTTTTGAGGAATCATTCTACACCCCTTCTGTACACAAACGAAAAAACTAATGTGAACACTTCTTACCAAGCTGTTCCAACATCTTGTCACATTCATCAAGGATGAAGTGCTTGATATGCTTGAGATTAAGTGTTTTCTCGCGTGTCAGAGCCAGTATTCTGCCAGGTGTGCCAACGACAATGTGTGGGCAGTTGGTCTTGAGGGTCTGCTGGTCCTTCTTGATGCTGATGCCACCAAAGAACACTGAAACTTTGATGTTATTCATGTATTTAGAAAATCTTTCATACTCTTTAGAGATCTGAAAGGCCAACTCTCGTGTGTGGCACATAACCAGCACACTGACTTGACCATCAACCTGCTCTAACTGCTGTAGTGTTGCCAGAACAAACACTGCAGTCTTTCCCATGCCGCTCTTAGCTTGACAAATGATATCCATGCCCAGGATAGCCTGAGGAATGCACTCGTGCTGAACTGTAGAAAAAAAAACATGGTAACCACCATATCAGTTCTAGCTGACACCATGAGCTGACAATTAAAAGTGCCCATATGGCTAGTAGCAGAAAAGCAGAAATTTTGTTAAGCTATTTGATATGTTGGACACATTTTCTAAGGAGCTGTATGTTCATCAATGCATTTTTCTGCACGCTTTGGGAAAAAGTGGACTTTTTCTGAGGGTTAGGAGAACTTCATAGCACTTCTTTAGCGCACCGGGGGGGGGGGGAACATTAAAATGGAATGGCCTTAAGAAAGTGGACAAAAGAAACCTAAACCTACACGTTGGGGCACATATGCCCAAGCCAAGCTTTTACGTTTGCGAGTTCAAACCATGGAAACATTTAATTTCGGGATTAGGAATTTTGAAAATTGAAAACCGAACACTGTCATTGTTTAGAAAATCAGGTTACCTGACACAAGAAACCTAACGCACTTTCAAATATTTTCATTTTGAATAATTTATAAACCAAGAGCTTTTCAGTTTCAAGAAATCTCGCTCTTCTCGATGAGATAGGGAATTCACATCAACAGGACATTTGTTAACGCCGTGTAAACAACTAAAGCTAAAAAGATGCTCGTTAACAAGATAATGCTGAGATGGAATCGACAAGTGTGCTGAAAATACCTTCTGACGGATGTTCGAATCCACAGTCGACAATGGCGCGCAGAAGTTCCGGCTTTAAAAGAAAATCTCTAAAGCCAGAGCTATGAATACTGACATAGGTACCCTTCACGTCCTTCTTCGCTAGATCTTTAGCTGCCTGGGCTTCCGCGGCGGTTTCTGTCTCCTCCTCTTCGTAGTCCAACAAATCGTTGTCATCATTTTCGGCCATTATGGAATCGACGCCTTGACAAGAGAGAGCGAAACGGACTTTTTAGTTGGATAAATAGCTTTCCATGGAGACGAAAACCACGCAGCCTCGTAAAGGCTTCTGTGTGCTTTCGAATTATAGTGAACTGACTCATGGATGGAGTAAAAGAATTTGGAATTTTGAAGGATTTTACTACCTTGAAAGATCGTGAACCCAGTAAACGAAACGAACGCCTTTGTGAGATGACGCATATGGCGAGCGTCACATGAAATGCACCCTGGGATGTATATTGTGACGCAACTTCTCTGATTGGCTAATTTGTCTTCTCAGGGCATAGGTCGCTCTTGACTGAGAGTCTGAACCAAGGTGTACTTCGTAAAATTCATCTGTTTTATTCATCATTCGGAGTTATTTCCCCAGAAGTATCAAATGCAAGAGCAGAACAGGCATATGATTTGCTTTCAGGGGTAGTTGATCGGTATTTCCAATCCGGGGAGAAAATTAAGTAAGCGCAGCCAATCACGTCAATCCAATTCGTTAAAGTTGTGCATGTTTTTGCGATTTGTTTGTTGGGAAGATTAAAAGCATTATTTTGTGCCAATATGGAAGTAGATTCCCTTCAAAGCAGCCGTATTAGAAGGTAAGCACACTTTCCATTGCAGGAACTTTATCCTCAGGTTGTACTCTCAGGCTTACTTTTACAATGGGTTTGTAGAAAAATTAAGCAAACAAGATCCAATATTGATGATAGAATTGTTTGGTTTTGTTTGTTTTATTATGCTGGATTAAATCAATTTATGAGGTGTACATGTGGCATTAAATCAAGCGTAATTTAATTGGAATTTTAAGGTAGTCAACTGCTAAAACATCCCCTGTTCTTTCCAAATTAATGTTGCCATTGATCAACTCCCTGAATTGTACTCCAGTAATAAAATAGTACTCCTTTTACCCAAGTAATGTATACAGACTGAAAATAGCTTGAGTTTCAGAAGGTCTGAGAGTTAGACTGAAAAGGGCTTTTAATTTCCATACCAGACCCATATGACATAAAGAAGAAAAAAAGCGATGTACAAATATCTAATCAGACTAAAAATATCAACAGAAAATTATGAGTTAGTTTTATTTTTTCATCAGTAAGCCTTGTGCGTCACCTGAACTTTATGATAGTGAGTCAGTCATGTGAATCAACTGTGGATTTGCTTATGAAGAAGTCCATAGACCTTTATCTTATGACTACCAAGACAATTTGCATAAATCTAACCCCATAGGGAAAAACTTGAGAACTGAGTTTCAACATGTAAAAACAAAACTATTTACCCAGTAATCTTCCAGTACTTACTGGCTGCCATCCAAAGGTCTACTGACAAAGAGCATGCTCCCTGAAATTTTACCTTTGGTTCAAATTTTGTTTTCTGAATAACCAAATATAAATGAACAAATGCAGTAGAAACATGCTGACCTGGACATGATTTGAAAAAAGAGTGGTTTATATTTTAGGCATATCTGCTTTTCCTAAAAAGTCCTGACAAAGCAAGAGTCCCTAATAACAGGATCTTCTTATAGTCAAATATTTTCCTTGCAAAACAAAATAGTAAAATATCCTGGCTTTTTCCTCCTTGAATAAAAAAATTCCTAATCCTAAATTTGATATGTTATCTTTGCCTTTTAGACTTTTTCAACTGGGAACCTTTGTTGTGTTTGTGTGGTGGGCAGCCGTAGTGAAATCCATAAGTGCTGTGTTTACCTGCATATTTGGCCCAAATTACAGGCAATCTATGTATGGAAAGAGAATAAAAAAGAGCAAGTTTATACTTGATGATAAAATCACTCTAACTAACCATGGATCATTTGGTACTGTTCCAAAGAAGGTGTTAGAAGCTCGATGGCAGTTGCAGGTACTGGTTACGTGAATTCTGGTCAGGACAGCGGCCTGGCATTTTGAATACCATGAATAAATGAATAAGAAATGTCAACATTCATGAAAAGGGAGTCTTGCTCTAAGCCTCTAAATTATGTCTTTTTGGCCTTTTTAGACCCAAAGGTTTGAAATGTAAAAATAATCTTGTAATCATTTTTATCACCTTAACACTCCAGTGTGATGTAGTTTTTATTGTTATTAACTGTCACAACAGTAAATAACTTTTCTTTCTGATATTTTGTTTATTCATAATCTTCAGAACCAACCACAAGCATAGACAAGTTTAATAAAGAGAGAATCTATCATTTTATCTTTTTCCACAGATCCCTTCAATAAGAGGAGAAGAACATGACCCCTGTACATGAATTTTAACAATTTTTTGCCATGATTGTTTCAATAAGGCCAAAAAATTCAGTCTACTTGTACACATATACAAAAGAAACATAGCTGATCATTGCTAATGTACACAACTATCACAGAGATCAATTTGGACTGAGTGATTGATTGTCCATTCACTGATTTGCTGACTCAATCTGAGTTTCTTAAAAAGTATCTCCTTTCACACTTTGCCTTTTAGAAGTGAAAATATTTGATTGTAAGTTTATCTGTTGGTGGCGGTGGTGGTCTTGTTAGGGAAAGAGTTAAAATAATCCTTTTTTCTCTTTTTTTTACACAGGAAGAGATGGATAAATACCCAGATGTATGGTTCAGATACAAAGTACAGAATATGTGGAACAAATCTCTGGAAACCGTGGCCAGGTTTGTAAGAGCTGATCCTCAAGACCTGGTGTTTGTACCTAATGCAACTGCTGGCATCAATTCAGTGCTAAAGTGTCTGGATATTCATGAGGGTGATGGCATTCTTATAACTAATCAAACTTATGGAGCAGTTCAAATAACAGCACAAGATATTTGCCAAGCAAAAAAAGCCAAGCTTATTGTGCTTAATATCACATTTCCTACTTCAGACATGACATCTTCTGTGAATTACCATGCAACTGAGGTCGTTCAACACTATGAAAAAGTGTTACAGGAAAATCCCTCCATAAAGGTGGCAATTATAGATGCCATTACCAGTAATAGTGCATTAAAGCTCCCTTTTAAGAGGCTAACTGAGGTGTGTCATAAGTACAACGTTCTGGTGTTGGTTGATGGTGCTCATGCACCCGGACAAATTCCCCTGGATCTTGACAGGCTTGGTGCAGATTTCTTTGTTGGTAAGTTGCAAATATGATATAATTGGTGCATACTTCAACTCCATCCTTTTTTGCCTTGTAAACTGATTTAGCTACATGCTGGTGGTTCCTACTATTATTTCCAAAATTACAATTAAATGAGGTTCACAATAACTTTATGATGAAAAGGTGGAGCATGATCATTCAAGTGAACGTAGTCCTGAATAGGACTGTTGTTGACAGAGACTGACATTTCAACAACCTGTGCATTAGTCCAGAGTCAAAGTGAGTTGTATTGTCAGTTGTGTAGTGATTCTGTCGTTGTCAGTTTTGTGTCAGTCCAAGGGTGAGAACTGATCACATTTTCTGCAATGTATATGGACTGCAACCTTTTTGTAATCATATCTACCACTATAGATCAAATACACACTCAGTGATCTTGGTAATTCAAGCAATCTGATTGGTTAGCTATCTCGGACTATGACGTTATATTCACCACGCTATTAAGCCGTTGATGCTGAAGCTTACAAAACTCGATACAAGAAGATTAAAACCATCTAACTTTTGCGCATCCACTGTTTACAGCTTTGTGTTCATGCATGAATTCACCCATCAATCAAACTTATTGTTTTTTAATGGTTTCCTTTCTGATTCTATTGAGATCACTTCATATGAATATACTAAAAGAATTATTCACCTCAGGCGAAGTTAATATTATCGAATAATATTAACTTCGCCTTCGGGGAATAATTGTGAAATATAATTTAACAAAGTGCTATAAACTGAAGGAATAAAAGTGTATGTAAAAATCTCATTGCCTGCCTCCTAGGAAATCTTCACAAATGGCTCTTTGCTCCTCGTGGATGTGCTATTCTCTGGATCAGCCCCAAGTTTCATGATATCATCCTACCACAGGTTGTCTCGTGGAATCACGATAAAAGCCTTCAGGACAGATTTTTCTCACAAGGCACAATGGACCACACCTCTTACATTGCGAGCGAGACTGCCATCAAGTTTTATAATGATATAGGAGGAATGGTGGGTGCTTTTGATTACCAAGGGTAAACTAGGTCATACCCAAGCCATGATCGCTTCAGTGACCCATACATTAAGATTATTGCAGCAGCTCATCCCAAAAGTTTGAATCAAACTCAAGCCTGTATTGGCCTGTGCCCTGTCCGCAGATGTTTTTTCTTTTTATTATTTTTTTCCAGAAGTTCAGTGAACAGTCTTTAAAGAAAAACTGAGCCTGCAAGCAGGCTTTAAAGCAGGCAGGTTTTTCTGATTCTTTTTTATTATCTGATTGGAAAACCGTCATAAGTGAGTAAGTTTACAGCATAAAATAACCTTTCTAACAATCTGTTAAATTTATACAGTGACAATATTTTTCTCTCTATAAATGGTTCTTATTTGATTATACTTTCAGTCTGAAAGTTGATTGTTAGAAACCTCGGGTCACTGTGTTTTTGTTGTTTTATTTAACACTGAATTTGAAGTTTATTGTATTATCAGTTAATTGGGCAGGCTTACCTCCAACAGACCACTGCTTGAAGAATTAGCCTGAAATAGATAAACATCGCAAATCATGTGGGAAAGTAATGCTTGTATTGGTTATATACCCATATGATCTAGCACTATGCCCTTAAGAAGCCTTTGATCCTAAGGCCCCTGAAATACTTCCTAAAATAATTAGAACCTTTGATGTATTGTGAACTCTTTACCTGTATCTTGACTGTACAGATTTAGTACTTTTTCATTGAATAGAGGGTAGCAGGGCTGTGCTGTTGCCTTACTTTTACTCTTGGATCGGGTTAGTAAATCTTAATTTTTTGCATCAAAATCATTTACTGGGCACCCTGGATTTCTTAGGCTCAGAGAATAGGGCTCCCTAGGATTTTTCTCAGAGCACAGCATTGAAAATAATAGGATGAATCCTCTTCACTGGGCCATATTGGAAAGAACTGCAAGTATTTTACTGAGAGTATCTGAATTAATGCATCTATGGCAAAACAAAAGTTTGAGCCTTAAAATGTTTTGTTATCATTAGAGTTCCATAACAAAGTACAACAGTCAGCTTGCTTCTTGGGCAGTGATGTTGTTAGCAGAAGCCTGGGACACAGAAGTACTTCCTGTTCCAGAATCCATGCGAGCCCCTTGCATGGCTGTTGTACGTCTTCCTGGTACATTGTCAGCAGCTTATGGATCAACGTCTGAAGGAGCCAAGCAGATGATGTCTGATCTCTACACAAAATACAAAGTTGTTGCTTGTTTTGTGTGCGTACAAGCATCACTGTGGTGTCGAGTGTCTGCTCACGTTTACAATGCCAAAGAAGACTACATGCTGCTTGCTGAAGTGGTCTTAAAGCTGATGGAAGAATGTGCAAATGGGTTTTGTCCAAAGGTAGAGAAAGCTGCCGAACCTAACAGATGGTCGTGGTATGAAGAGCCACGTTAACAGAGAACAAAAAATGAAATAACATTAACAATGATTGTGATATTAGCCAGCAGAACAGGCGATATTTTTTGTGTTTTTCTGGCAAACGAAAAAACGAAGCGGGCGTAGGGTGCAAGACACGCGCGACGAGGGAATGCGCGGAAAAATACTGTTTTTGCGCCTTCCCCCGTCGCGCACCGTGACTAGTGTCCTCGCTCGCTTCGCGCTTGTCTTCCCTCGTCTTAAAAACGCCAAAAAGTAGGCCCGTTCTGCCGGATATTGTGAGATTCTTATAATATCAGTGGTGTGATGGGATGTTTTAAGTAAATAATAGGTATATAATACCCTTTTCTCTGTTCAACAACCTCTTGATAATTATGGTAAGATAAAACCTTGAATCACAAGTTGAATTTAAAGTAAACCGGACACTGATTTTAGCTAGCCTGAATTTCATCCGATTACTTCGAGTCGTTATTACTCCCTCAGAGGAGAAAACGGCTTGAAGCAATCGGATGAAATTCAGGCTAGGTCTTAGCAACCTGTACAGTACTGTAAAGTTTTGGGGTTTTTTTATTAATAGTTTGTGCTAACAATCACTTTTGATCTCTTTTATCCATAGACTTGAACTAAATCGACCTGTTTTTAGTTATAAACGGGGGAAAAGATTGTTAATAACCTCAAAAGAAGTGAAACGAGCTTTAGTGAGGTCGCGAAAGGTCATACTTGACAAAATAAAACTACGCAACTGCTTTTTTAAGACTTTGCGAAAGTCTGTTACTCTTCCTATACACGACTCGTAAAGTGCCAACTATATCTTGATCGTGTTTAAATAAAGGTTTTGTACGCTATTGAATCAGTTGTACTGAGATGATGGCTGGCAGAAGTCTCTCATTGTGTTGAATCTGAGTACCCGATTTGAAAACAAGGGCGTAGCAAGGAGACGGACAATTTTTCAAAATCTCCCTACTGTAGACGGCTTTTGTCGAAGCATTCTCTGGTTGGAAGCAAGAGCCATAATGATAAAAGGAACCTCCACGCGCGACCCCATTTTTCTCTCACATCCCTTCTTGAGTTTCTGGTAATACTCAAGTAGATTATGGCCTGGGACTATTTGCTATAACTTTGGCATAGATGATGGCGCTGAATCAAAATTTGGCACACATAAAGAATATGTCACTTGACCATTTTGCCAACAATCGTAAATTATTGACCATAAACATTTTTGTGATTCATATTAAATATTTCTAACACTTTACGTTTGGAATGACCGTCAATTGCACTTGAATAAAAAATTATGAGGGAAAACATCATTTTAAATACCCAAATTTAATCTTGAATTATTTAAAACTTTAATTTTAAACTCCGGGAACATTCATTCCAAAAGTAGAAAGTTAGGTATGTTTATCATCTTTAAGAAATACCAATTTGTTTATCGAAACAAAGTAAATTCGCCACCAATTAGCCAATTTCCTTCATTTGCAATTTTTGGTCACGTGACATGTCACGTGACCCTAATTAAACGTTAAGGCACAAGAAAACCTTAAGATTTACATTTGGGGAAAAGTTTATCATATCTTATATCGACAGGCCTCTAGCGGACCATATATTAATAAGGTTTTAAATTGAATCCAGTCGTTCAATAAAATTATTTTCTTTAATCAATTTTTGGTCGTAAAATAATACACCTAGAGCTTTTATTGGCTCGTCCGGCCATTTAATACCAAACGGTTTTTCTTTATAATGTCTCTTAGATCTAATCCACATACCTTCTGTTTTTGAACAGTTAATCTTGAGTCCAGAGAGAATTTCCAATGTGTTAAGTAGTTCAAATAATCTTTCGGCCGAGCTTGTGTCAGCTAACACAGCGATTGTATCGTCTGCAAACTGTAAAAGCTTAGTTTCCTCAGTTCCTATTGTGATTCCTCTAATTGTCTCTTTTTGCCTTATAGCAATTGCTAAAGTTTCTGCAGCAATTATAATTGCGTAAGGGGAGAGTGGATCACCCTGCCTAACACCGCGTTCCAGAGTAAAAAAGTTAGAACTTACGCCATTGTTTATAACACAGCTTTGAATGTTGTTATAAAAGGTTTTCACCCATTGAAGGAAGTCTCGACCAAAGTTAAACTTTTTAAGACTTTCAATGAGAAATTCCCATTCCACGCTATCAAAGCTTATCAAAAGCTTTTTGAAAATCTATAAACAGGAGTAAACCTGGGATGTTTTTCTTAGCTGTGAAATCCATAATATCGAAAATAGAAAGTATTGCTTCACCGATGAAACGATCTTTACAGTCAAACCAGGTCAAGCGTTCCCGTCGCTAACAAACTAATGAATTCATTAATGGAAAAATAATTTCGTTTGTTGATTCAATAATCCATTCATAAAATGAATAATCCAACAGTCAAATTGGACCTCGATTCAATAATCAAATGTTGATTTGGTTTATGAGCAAAATCTACCTGTTCTTTATTCTTGTCTGTTGTGTTCAATCGTATTTGCTTCCTTTTTCCTGCCGTTTACGATTGCGTTTTTCATTGCCTTTAATCAAAATAACAGCTAGAATAGACAGACCGCAAACGCAAAGAAACTATGAGAAACTGACAAAGGCCGAGGATCGAAATCGGTCCGTGCACACTTCGGCCAATCTATTTTTTCATTTTTCCAACAAAAACGGAAAAAGGACATATTACTTATCCTTATCATATTTGCATATTTCAAAGTACAGAAAAAAAGAGAAAACGAGAAAATGGTCAGGAAAATCGATCATTTTTTCATTTTTCTAATTTTGAAGTTAAATTCAAAAATTCAAAAAATACTGTTAACGGCTAAAAGCGATATTTTGCTATTTTTATTTTCTTGATATTGTTAGAAAAGTGAGAAAAATAAAATAATCTCCGAGTCCTACATCATTTTCCTATTTTTCCGTTTTTCCCAAAAAATAGAAAAATAGAAAAATGAAAAAATCATATTTATTCGCACCATTTTTTCATTTTTTTCATTTTGTTCAAAAAATGAAAAAATAGAAAAAGGGCATACCTATAGCCTAATTTTCCATAATTCCATTTTAACAAGAAAAATGAAAAAAATGACAAGTGTTGCGAATAATTTTTCTATTTTTTCAATAAATAGAAAACAAACAAACAAAGAAAAAAGGGACAATTTTTCATCTTTTGTTTTAATGAAAAATAGCAAATAAAAATGACAAATCATGAACATTTACCAATAAAGAAAAGAATAACCTAATCCACTTTAGACTCACTAGTTTTGTTCGACGATTTACACGGGGTCGGCAGAGACGTGGGATGGGGAGGGTGGGTTTGGGCCCTTTAGTTCTCGGAATGCGAACGTAGTTTCATTCACTTTTGGATTTGATTAGCTGATTCCGAGTTTATCTCATTACTTAGGACTCACTCTGTGACCTGTTCTAACACTGCGTCACCATAAAGTGTTCCTGTTGCATTTAAACTGTGGAACGTTTCCCCATACTTGTCGCATGGGTTTCCCGACATTAACGATCTTTGCTCTCGTCTTTCCAGGGCTGAGTTGCTTAAAAGGTGGATAACGCTATCCGCTCATATTCCGCTGGATAAATAACTATCCAGTGGATAACGCAATTGGTTTCCCTAAAATACATAAAAAAATTATCAGGCTGCTGGATAGTGATTTATTCGGTGGATCGTCGCTATCCAAAGTTTAAACAAACGTATGAGGAAATGTATGGGCCAGAGCATTAAGATGTTCTTTCCCGCGAGTGTATAATAGGCGCCTCGTTATGTTTCTCCTCCATAATAACAATTCAATATACTTTACTCTTGCAATCCTAAAACACCCGTTCTGCGGCAAGATCCGTTATTTCGGCAGGCTAAGCAGTCTACTTTTGAGCATCTATTTCATTTAAAAGCGTCTGACCTCTTCACTGGCGTGCTCTTTATTTATTTTGTGCATGTGACTGTTCAACGACCTTCTTCTTTTCCCCTTAATCTCTCTCACGAACCGCTTTTTTTGTGCTGGGACCATAGTGTTGCTGGCATGAAAACCGTTGAGTTAGCCCCCCCCTTTTCCCGTACCAATTTTCACGCCTCCTCCTCCTCCCTCGTACCCTTTCCAATATTTTTCTTTTCCAGGACCGGTACGGTACGGTTTCCCCGCCGTTTTCATCCACAGTCGACTCCCGACAACTCAAACCTTCAGGGAAATCGAGATCAAAAGTGAATGGAACCACGTCTGCATCTCGAACACTAAGCCGTCGCCCCCCCAAACCCCCTCACATCTCCGCCGACCCTTTGTAAATCTTCTAACCAAATTAGTGAGTCGATAGTGGATACGAATTAGGTTTTTCATTTCTTCACCGTTAAAATATTCATAACTTCTCACTTTTCAGCGCCATTTTTTTCAATAAAATGAAAAATGAAAAACTGTCTGAAAGGGTGTATCGTTAAAGTTTTTCTATTTATCCAAAAAAAAGGAAAAATAGAGAATTGCTCGCAACACTTGTCATATTTTCAATTTTCTTGTTAAAATGGAATTATGGAAAATTAGGCGATAGGTATGCTATTTTTCAATTTTTTCATTTTTTGAACAAAATGGAAAAATGAAAAAATGGTGCGAATAAATATGATTTTTTCATTTTTCCGTTTTTCTATTTTTTGCGAAAAACGGAAAAATAGGAAAATGAATTAGGATTCGGAGATTATTTCATTTTTCTCATTTTCTAACAATAGCAAGAAAATAAAAAATAGCAAAAATATCGCTTTTAGCCGTTTACAGTATTTTTTGTATTTTTGAAGCGGACTTCAAAATTAGAAAAATGAAAAAATGATCAATTTTCCTGACCATTTTCTCTTTTTCTATTTTTGTCTGTACTTTAAAATATGTAAATATGATAAGGATAAGTAATATTTCCTTTTTCCGTTCTTGTTGGGAAAGTGGAAAATTAGATTGGCCGAAGTGTGCACGGACCGAAATCCACCAATCACCGCACATACACTGACCTTAGTTTGACCGTTGTGTTTTCTAAGAGGTCAGGCCTGGGTCTGTTGCACTGATTACTGGCAGCAAACTGGCGTACATGTAACAGTTTGTTTGGGTTTGAACTTCAGAACTCGCCGGCACTCGACTCTCAGAAAAAAAAGAGGAAAAAACAAAATTCTGAGGTCAACTTGTGGAAAGTGTAGTTTTTCAAAAAACAGTAATCGAATCAACATTCGATTATGGAATCGAGGCTAAATATGAATATTGGATTGTTCATTTTATGAATGGATTATTGAATCAACAAACGAAATCATTTTTCCGTGAATGAATTCATTAGTTCGTTAGCGACGGGAACGCTTGACCTGGTTTGACTGTAACATAACCACTCTGGTTGATACTGGTTAACACCTTTTTAACCCTTGCTGCGATCACCTTCGACATAATTTTCGTATCTACATTAACAAGAGATATTGGCCGACAGTTTTCTAGGAGAGTGCGATTTTTTCTGCTTTACTCAAGCAGAGTCATGACAGCCTGTTTTTGTTAGCATGACATTTCCCCTTTTTCGAAACATTCATTTGCGCACCTGATAAAACCTTCCCTTACTAGTGGCCAAAATTTTCTATAGAATTCAGCTGGAATGCCATCATTTCCCGGGGATTTATTACTTTGAAAACTATCCAAGAGTTTAGAACATTCTTCTAGAGAAATTAATCGTTCACAGGAATTTTTTTGCTCCTCCGAAAGTTGGGGAATATTCAGATCGTTCAAAAATGAAGATATTTTCTCTCCTATTATTAGGACTATTAATGCTGCTTTTGTACAGTTCTCTGTAAAAACGCTCTTGTTCTTGTAGAATACAGTGCGGAGCCGTTGAGATTTTACCATTTATGCACAGTTTTCTCATATGTTTTTTAACGTGGTTCCTTTTTTCTAAGTTTAAAACATATTTGCTAGAAGGTGATGTGAAAGTGAGAAAATGTCATGCCATGCTATTCTTAAGAACCTGTATGAGCCGAAAATGGATGTGATTTTGACCATTACAAAACATATGTTTTGTATCCTACTTTGCAGACGAGGACGTGTATCGGCGTTTTGTAAAGCATAATTATGTTCTTTCATTCATTCATTGCCATGGAATATGCGTTTACATTGTTTTTGCCAGGGATTTCGCCCAGAAGGCGAAATCCCAAGGAGGCACTCTAGTCATAGGTAGCCCAAGCTCGAAATATGAGCATCGCCATTGTTGCGTAACATTCAAAATATAAGGATTTGTATGGGCAAACACCTATCGTTTCTGTAACCTACGAAAATGAAAGGATTTCAATAGAAAACAGCTTACCTTACTTAAAATGTGTGTTACGTCTCTCCTGTGTGGTCCACGGGCCGATTTATGGCCGTTTTATGGGTTTTTATGTAAACCTTTATATAGAGAGAAAACCGTTTACATAAAAACCCATAAAACGGCCATAAATCGGCCCGTGGACCACACAGGAGAGACGTAACACACATTTTAAGTAAGGTAAGCTGTTTTTTATTGAAATCTTTTCATTTTCGTAGGTTACAGAAACGATAGGTTTTTTCCCATACAAATCCTTATATTTTGAATGTTACGCAAAATGCTCATATTTCGAGCTTGGGCTACCTGTGCTCTAGTAACTCGCGCGTATATTAAGGAAAGTACTTACACTTGAAATATACAGTCATACAGTCAGTATAGAAAAAATCTCGATTTGCTTGAACAGTAGCCTGCGAAAACATCCGTTTCTCCTCGCTCTTCGCCGATGGGGTCCCCGGCGGCGAAGAGCGAGGAGAAACGGATGTTTTCGCAGGCTAGTTCGTGCTCTATTTCACTCTGTTTTCAGACGGAGCAAAACACCGCTCATTTCCTGTTAATTTTCCCGGGAGTTACTGATTGACCGATAACGATCTTACTGACAGATGATCGCCAGGATAATTAAAAGTGGACGGAATAGCGGCCTCAAATGTTTGTCTACAGGCTCTCTTCCCCCCTTTCCCTTTGCCTGCGTGCAGACGTCTCCTATTTCCTTTGTTGCACGCGCGCGTGCAACAAAGGAAATAGGAGACGTCTGCACGCAGGCAACCTTTCCCTTCCCTTTCCTCGCTATTTTTCCCAAAACAGAGAGCCTGTTCACAGGCTAACTATTACTAGTTTTACTGTTAATTGCTCGGTTAATGCGGCTTGATCATCTTGCCGGCGGAAGTTTCATGGAAAAGGCATTAAATTAAAAACTTTTGCCCCAAGTTATGTAATCAGCCTCCCCGATGTAGTGGTTAGGTGTAGTCGCGTCTTGCTGAAGGTGCCGGGTTTGAGTCCTACTCAACTCTTTTTTTCCTTCTTTTTGTTCCCGCTTTTTGTGTTGTTGTTTTCTACAAATATATCATGAATAACTGTTATTTAATAAAGTGCACTAAACAGCAAGAAAAGTATTGTGTTTCCAGAGAAAAGATAGTACACCGTATATTAAATATATGGAGTAAACAATCTGAATTTCTATCATTTCCTACAATTTACTGTGCGAAAACCAGAGTTGATAACCACTTGATCATTTTCTAAACAACATTCCCACGAGTTCTTTCTGTAGACTGATAGTAATTGTTACTTTCCAACCTGTAAATCGGACGTTCCATGTCATTTTCGATTTTTTTAAGTCTCGCTGCCTAACTAATTCCAGTGAACTGAATGTGCCGCAGCATTACTATCTTTTAGATACCCTGGTTTTAAGAATATCTCGATCATGCATTCATTTCTTTAGCTCTTTCGTAATCCAAAGTGAACTACGCGCGCGAACACGCATTGTCCCTAGGGGAGCATGTTTGTCAACGATAGAGAGAAACAACCTTTTCCATTGTAACCTCTGTTGTGAAGTATTTTGAAGGTTATTTTAATTTTATTTCGTGTTTGCACTTAACGTTTCACTCGTGACTATGGTCTTGTTATGATCAGTTTATAGATGAAGGTTAATCCATATTTGTCTCGACAGGTTTACAAATTGTATTACCTTTTGAAGTAGTTTTTCAACATGAATTTGATTGTCAGTCCTTGAAGTGGGCACGTTTTGGAACCGTCGTAGCCTGCGAAAACATCCGTTTCTCCTCGCTTTTCGTCGATGGGGACGTCTCGCAGGCGGCGAAGAGCGAGGAGAAACGGATGTTTTCGCAGGCTAGAACCGACCGTCGCTGACCTTGATTACCTACATCAGAGTTCCTGTTTTGGTTTAAGGTAGAGTCTCGTGGGTTTAGCTGTCACGCTTTCATTGGTTTTCTTATGGGTTTGTTTATTCCACTTTGGTTATCAACAGGAAATTCGTTTAATTCACTTGGAAAAGCTTTTGTAATGGTGAGCGAGCCTAAACGTACCTAAACACTGGCAACTTATATGAGTAAAACGTATTCACCTCATATCATTCGGATTGGTTGAACAGTATATTTGGTCCCAACTTTGAGACGCACCCTCATTACAAAAATTTTCTCCATTGAATTTCCGAAAATTCCTATAAGTTATTACGTTGTACCCTCTTGATGTTCCATTGATGGATAATTTCCTATATGCAAAGACTATTCTATGATCGCTAATACTTATGCGACGAACACCCGAGCACACAGTTCTATCTGGACAGTTACATCAATTAAAGTTGGTTCAGTGATAAGCTGCTGAAGGCCATATATATCTGTGATACTCATTAGTTTGCGCGTATCATTGTCATATCGAGTAGCAATCATGTCACAGTTTGAATCTCCCATAAGGTAATATTCAGTATTTTCAGAATCGAGTTTCCCAATTAAAGTTTCGAAAAATAGGAGGATCTGGTGGTCTATACCACGTGACAACGGTTGACAGCTAGGTTCTTGAATTTCCAGACTCAGATTTTAAAGAGTATCCGCGTTTAAATCCTTTTCGTATGATGAACTTTTCACATAGAAACATACTCCTCCACCCCCGTTTGAAATTCTGTCACGACGAACTACCGGTATTATATAACCAAGAATATTGACCTCATTGTCTGTAGTGGTTTCATTCAGCTTAATCTCATGATTGATTGATAAGATATCTATTTCGTTATAAGCTAGAAGATTCTAATTTCATCTATATGAGTATGAGTAGTTAATTTGTTGATGTTTAAAGAGACTAATTTAAAACCGCTGACGCTATGATTTCTCGGCATTGCTTGCAGGACGTTGAATAGGCACTGCATTAGTGGATAGCGCATTATTTCACCCTAAGCTTACCTGAAAGTTCTTAAAAAATTGTTGATTGCCTTTGATATTAAGATGCAGTCCTCCTTGATTTAATGCCTTCTCAGAGATATTTCCATGCTGAATAAGACGAAGTTTTCAGTCTGTCTAGCAAGATCTACGATCGAGTCGGCAACTTGCAATTGTTTTTTTCTGCTTGAGGTCGTTAGTGCCGACGTGCAAAATGAATTGATCTTGCGAAAGCTCCAAGTTCGGTTTAAGATAATCCTTCATGGCTTTTGAACCAGAAAACGACTTTACCACTACCCTATGGCCAACAGCTATTTCTAACTGTTGCTTTGCAACCCAGTCGACAGTCTGAATTTTAACTGTAAATATGTCAAAAATACCCCAAATCCAAAAAAAGGTACTAACACAGAATTCAACTCACTTCCTCATCCACATTAGCAAGCTTCTCAATCCGACTCAGTCCGTGTCAAACAGCGTCAGTCTCGCGCAGTCGGAAGTCGGAAGTTGAATACCCTGGGTTCCGGAGGATATTTTTTAGCTCATGGGATGACGTAGTCATGCCATGGGCTTTTGGAGGCACTCGAATGGCCCTCGACCACCCATTAAACACTTTACCCTTACCCCCTTACTTAGTATTACTTTTGTTCCAAGTGCCTTTTACGCATATGTTTGGCATATTCTAGAGGGTACTAGTAAGGCCTGCATTTTTTCCCGACACAGAGAGTAGCCAGCCTAGCGAAGATGGGTTTTGTATAAATAGAAATATTCTAAAGAACACTGACAATATCATCGGCAAGAAGTTAAAAGGACGTTGAAATAATTGAGCTCGGATCATTGTTGTACATTTGGACGAACTGTACTCGGAGTGTGAAAGAGCTATCGCAGCCTGACGATGGGATTTTGCTCAGCGAAAAGCGAATAAAAAGCGAAAGAGCCCTGAGCCTTAGCTGCTCAAAAACGGTCCTCGATTAAAGTGGCGGTGAGGAGTATCTATTGTGGTTTATTATTATTTGGACAATTTTGCTTGAGGTGATCGTTGCCCAGTAGGCTGTTTGTCGGTGATTCCTTTTATCAGTGCCATTACTAGTAATGTAATTTCTACAGGAAATGCTAAGTACAGAGGGGCAATAGGTTACTTCGACTGCGTTAAATTACTTAGCTAGGTCAGAGCACGTACAGCCTCGAGCTCAATCCGCTTATTAAAATAATTTTTAGCTAGTGTTTAGAGCCGTAAACGCCTGTATTCTGTATTTAATAGCTCGTAGTACATATACTAACCGTTACGTAGTCTTTGTAAACAGCATATGGAACCATATTTGAAAGCCCTTATAGGAAACCCTCGAGGTCCATTGAAACAATTGTCTAAAACCACGATTTAAGTAAAACTCGGCCTTATGTAAAACTTAGCTATTTTACAAGAAAGTGCACTATCGTTCGGAAAGTGTTTGACGGTCACATGAGAAAGCAAATTATTTTACAACTAACAAGCGTTAAATTAATAAGTTTAAAGTGATCTTTGCGTTAAGCAGAAATGCTACGCTGATAACAATCGGATACTTAGACTGTGTAGGGATTGAATTCCTAAGGTTAGAACACGTACAGCTTCGGGCAAAGAAGGGAAGCTCCCTAGTCGTGGGTGGAAAGCGTGGGAGCTATAGAGATGCCAAAAAGTTACCGAAGAAACGCTGACGAAATGCTTAACACTACATGCCAAAAGCAGATGCCAAAAACCAAATGCTAACCAAATCAGTGTAAACGTGATCTATCAAGTATATCAACACACACAAGGTCATGAAATATAAAAAAAAATACGAAGGAGAAAAGTGAATCTCACCTATTACAGTGCCCAAACTCTTTGAAACACCTGAATTTCAAAATGGAATGTTTTTTCTACACTAATTCAATTCATCCATGAGCTCGCTCCAAGGAGCCTTTGATTTCTTATCGATACTGCGTATCGGGAGCCTTATCAAACCGTAAGCACGGTTTACGTCATAATAGTTGTTTTGAGAACGGATTTCTGGAGCTAGGGTGGAAGTTGGAAGTCAGAAACCGGAAGGCGGAAGACCCTTCTCGGCTTTCGTAGTATCAAGTTGTATATGAATAAAAGTACAAATAAATGTGCAAACAACGCAGCATTTTCAGTTTAACTCTTTGGAATCGCGTGCGCAAGGAGTCGAGATTCCATGGTGATTTGACTTCACAAGTAAAACTAAGCAAACTGTCCAGGAGACTTGTGAGTTCATTCAAAGCGACTAAAAATGTCTCCCGTGATGAAGAAGATTGCCCGGCGAGATTTCCTGGTTTCAGCATCTGCAACATTATTGACTATCGAGTGTGAACCAGGAGAGCAGTGGTAGGTACCATGGTGAAGACAAAGATGAGTTTAGTTGTGATCGTTACTTTGCTTGAAATGCATGTGCACTAACTTTAAACCGGATCACCGACTTACTATTCAGATTTCAGTGTTTGTTTAAAAGATTTCCTTTTTGGTTTGATGACTAAATATTTTTTGAAATTGGTCTGAGGCGCAATGAACCTCAAAGAGTGAAGGAAAGACATGTAAATAAAGTTACCTAAAATTTACAAAGGTATACTTTTCTTGGAAAAAGTAATCTTTTTATTTTTATCATAATCTCATAATGATGAACACGCGGAGTTTATCTTTGTTTCTTCTATTCTACAGTGGGTTATAGAATCTTTTTTTTTTTTCGGAGATTCTCAATTTCTTTCTCATTCTATTGCGCGCTGCAGAATAAACAGAGACCTAGTAACATGACATCACAATTAAAATACACAGAACAGTTTAGACTTTGCTTGAAAGCGTATCAGAGAGGAGCAAAATGAGTTCTGTCATACAAAAGATAAAGAGAAAGAAAAGCAACGCTCGTGATTTTCAAATCACAGCATCAATAAACTTGCTGACCATCGAATGTCAGCCAGATAACAGGTAAGCGACAAAAAAAAGAAGGGCCGGAAGTGATCGAAAAAAAAACAATACCCAACAGGCCTGTCAGGCGAAGCCTTCCTCACATGGATGGTTTTAATACTGATTTCAAGTGTTATTGTTCAATATTTAGACACACTCTCGATAATTTCGCTCTAGTATCGTTAATTGAGCTTGTACATTGGGAAGAAAATCTTATTATGTTTTTTTTAAAAAGCTATGTTTCCCTATCGTTGCCAGTAATTTAAAGCGGGGAGGGGTCTGAGGGTTTTAAGTTTGTCACTTGTTCAACCGGGAAAAGTTTTTCAAAGATGGCGGCCTAAACAGCTTGAGAAATTGAAAGTATATTCCATACGTTTGAGTACTGTAAGTTTATTTTTTTCATGGACAAACTACTAGGTGAAAGATTTTTTTTGATCGCGTTTTAGTTCCTCAGTTTTTTTTTTACATAAAAACTGACTTAAATGTAGTAAGTTATGTTAAAATTTGCTGTTGTTGTTGCTTTTTTTCCAGTTAATTTTGAATCTCACTTCTTTGCTCGTCGCTTTTTTCCTAGGCATCCTAACAAGCTCATCATTCTGTGGGGCAAAGAAAACAACAGTTGCCAAACTAAGGTATTTTATTGCTCTATTATTTACGGTTAAAATCGTTGAACTCCCAACTGTGTACTAATGATATTTAAAAACTTTGTCTTTTTAGCCGGTTCCATGGCAGCCGGGATTTTTCAATCCATACCGCGGCACTCATGTGTGGCCAGAGCCGGATCCGGTGAAAAACACTTTCAAACTCTTCAAGGTAAAGAGCCTCTTATCATCATGTTCAAGCTACCTTTAAGACGTATATAAGCTTCAGCTTAAGCGTACGAAATGTGGCTGTAGGTTGCAAGGGCTCATGAATATTTCTTCAATATCAGTTATTCGTTACAATTTAGCACAAAAACTTACCGACGTTTCACTAAGATTACCGACCGTTAGTCTATGCATGCTTGATCTATGAGATCTGTTTTTTCTTCTCTTAGAATCCAAAACGAGCTGGTACTTACGAAGACTGCCCTTGGAGGATTGTTGTCCAGAATGTAAGTTTGCATTTGTACCACCTGTCAAAGATTTCAAAACCATGCTGTAGCGGTAACCTTTTGGACTTTGAAATAAAATACGAGAAACAAATCCTTATTTACAAAGCCTACCGCGAAGAATAGAGGAATTTGCTCAGAAAACGTTTAGAAATATTAAACAGGCATTCTTGAACATCAAACGTCGGAAAACGTTTCAAGTATTTTCAGTACAATGTTCAAAAAACCCACTGCCTATTTGCCAGCGACATCTGTCTTAAACGCACTATTTCTCCGTCGTTTGTGCAATTCATTTTCGTTGGTCTCTTTACAACAATTTTTATCCCCTTTTTTCGCAGGAGTGTGAAAATGGTCGGCGCCAGGTTATTGCTACGGGCTGCATTGATCTAGCGGATTATATCAGCGAGACAAACAAAACATTCGAGATAACTGTCACATTAAAACCAGCAATGAGAAACGTTCTGTCGGGAGCAATCGAGTTTAACTTAACCTCTGTGATGTTGGAAAATGGAATACCATAGTGAGTATCGTGTAATTTAATAAGCATTTCTTCTCTAAGAAACTTGCATTTCTTCGTTCCTGTTTTGACGGGGCATAAACTTGTAAAGAGATTGTCTCATGTCAGGTTACTTTAGAGCCGCTCTAGAGCATATAGTTGGGATTAAAATGGTCGAGTACAGGGCGCAATCTTTTATCACAGCAGTAGTATCATCTCTACATGCACTCCTAGGTCAGCAGTTGCGCTAGAATTTCAACTTAAATTCAAACTGAGTGCCCTTAGATAGACTGAGGAGACTGAATAACGTTTTTCTAAAGCTGTCATGAGCTGTTGCTTACTCGAAATGAGGAAGGGTGGAAATAAGTCCAGTCCTCGACTTCTTCTCGAGAAACATCAGGACTCTCGGGAAAACAAAACTATCTGTTTCCCTCGGGATCTGACAATAAGTGTATAATGTACGAGCGGTTACAGCGAGGTTTAATGAATTTCCAGCTTCAAAATTTCCAGATTTAAAACAAATCATGCAAACTGTTAATTTTGTTTACCGAGAATCCGTTTATGTTTCCCGAGGTGTCACCCATGCTCGTTCCATTTCGCATTCAATTCATATTTTGCTTGTATTTATCACAGTCGAAGCGATAAGGAAATATTCCAAGAAATCATGGCAGACAATTTTAAATCAGCCAAGCATAGAATTGCCAAAAGTGCTGTGTCTTCCGTGGAGCACATGGATCCACTTCTGTTTTCCTTTGTTGATAAACCATCAGAGATTGCTCATACACCAAGGAAAAGAAAGAGCAAGAAAGGAAGAACCAAAGAAAGAACAAATAACACGCCTGACGGTGTTAACAACGGTCATGAAAAAGAAGCAAAGGTGGAAAAGAAAATTTCTCAACCACCGCAGCCGGCAGCTCATTCAAACTGCCACAAGACTGCAGAGTCTGTGACTTGTGCTGAAGATAACAACAACAACAACCTGAAAGCCATAACACCTTCAGCAGATGAAGGAAAAGAATCTTCTAATACTGATACACCTGCAAATGTTGAAGGAAAAAAAGACAGTCGCAAGACCAAAAGCCTAAAAGATTTAACCTCTGGTGCAACCTCCAAACCAGCTGAACAATCTCTGGCATCCAATGGCGTGTTGTCAACCAAACCAGAAACAACACAAGTAAGTGAACAGGAAACAAGAAACAATTTAGCTCCAGAGCAAGGCGAGGAAAAGGCTTCACTCGAAGAAGTTCATTCAATACCAAGTTATCGACCAAAGCTCAGTGTGTTTATAAAAGGCAAAAAACAGCCCAAGGCCAGCGGGAAGGAGACATCAGAACTGTTTCCCAAGGAAGATGGCTCCTCTGGATGCGGCGGAAATCTCGATGAGCCTCATGGCTCTGGAAGATCTGGTCAACTCACTGCACCTAAGACAGATATGCCTGGTGAAATGAAGGAAATTACTTCAGCTGATTCACACGACGATAACGAAATGATGTCTCCATTCTTTAAGAAGCTGTTGGAGAATGGTCCGAATAAAGGTACAAAAGCAAAATAAGGACAATTTGAAATTTTCGTAATAATTGAGAAATTAATTTTTCTAGTTCTCACCTAGTATTTATAAAAGCGCGCTCAGTAAATTTTGACTTTGTTTCTGTCTAGAAATTATATTGGGAGACTTTTGCGTAATAAGAATACACATTGCGTGGCCGTTGTCAGGCAGTTAGCGTGGAGGAGGCACAATCACCGATCACCGACGAAGGCACGAGTCCCTTGGAGGGTCTAAAGGCCGGTTTTTCACCAGCGATGGAGTCCGAGTCGGAATCGTAAGCGGAGTCGTAAGAGCGCTTATGACTTTGTGAAAATCAAAAAATTGGAGTCGAAAGCGGAGTAATAAGAACGACGAAATCGGAGTCGGGAGAATCAGAACGTTTCCATTTTCTTCCGACTCCGCTTACGACTCCGTCGCTTACGATCTAGTAAAAATCAGATCGCCGGGGTCGGAAGCATAAGAAGAAGGATAAAACCAATCATGAGGCACGTCCCCATGCTTTGTGATTGGTTTAGTTCTTCTGCTTCTTCACTACACATCGTAAAACGGTGGAGTTGTAAGTGGAATTAGAAAGCTGTTTTCACTAGATCGTAAAGTTCTACGCTTCTGATTATAACTCCGATTCCGACTCCGTCGCTAATGAAAACCAGTCTTAAGGCCATGTTCCCCCCACGCCCCGCGAAAATAAAAAAGGGAGAAGGTCTCAAGAAATATTATCAGAATATTTCACCATAATTCATGTTTATTTTCAGCAGCGTCTGTGAATTACCCTGAACTGTCAGCTTATGTGAGCGCAGAGATGAAGTCACTCCAGGAAGAAGTTGCTTCTTTGGAAAAAGTAGCAGTCATGCTAGAATCTGAAATGCGTCAGGCAATAGGAATTGAAGGTCAGTTCAGGCTTTAATTCCTTTAATCACAAAAGCTTAAGCATGTTTAATGATTAGTAGTACCGGTTCTGCAATCTGTATATAGACTTGAGGCCAAGGCTCTTGCTTCGCTTGCGTAGCAGGCGCCGATTAACTTTTATTTAAAGGCCGCGCGAGGGGAACAAGAGTGTCCTCGAGATTTCTTCGTGGACAGGCAATTTCACTTCCGGTCGATGGCGTCATTGCTTTTAGCCAACGCCACGAGCAGCTAATCATATCAATCATTAGTGCGCGAACCCGGCAAAATTTGAAAACATTTTGCTAAATTGCTACTTTCAAACAATAAAGCATGTCTGCCCCTGGGTTTGAAAATATGGAGAAGTAAACAAAAGGAAAAGAAAAACCAAACAAAACAAACTTTTTCCCTAGCAACGGCTTCAAAAGATAGGTCACTGGGCCCTTAAAAGAAAAAAACCGGCGCCTGCCTAGCTCTGCTAGTCTTCTTGAGATGGTAGCAACATTCAACTGAGTTTTTTGAAATATCTTAGTATTATTTCTTTGTTTTTCGGTTCCAGTTGTGTTTATAGATGATTCGTAGAATCAGTCAAAATTGAGTTTATGATTATGCGATCAATATGTTGTATTTAGAGTGCAAAGAGAAGTTGGATGGTCTAAAACAGGACTGGATGATCTTGTTGAGTAACATAGACGAGCTGGAAAAGAGAAAAGCCGATCTTCAAATTCTGTAAGTGATACTTTAATTATCGTCTACTGGCAAAACGTCTTTTGTAGTGTTCCGTTAAAGAAAGTCAGTCTTTACAATGTCAGAAGCCAATGTATAATACAGTAAACACCCGCATATAAGAACACACGATTTCGGAGGTCAGGCTGATTGAGTTCTTATTTATCGGGTGCTTAATGACAAATCAGCCTCAAAATGTTCTTAAATTTTTATTAAGTAATACTATCCAAAACATGTTGCTAGAGGTATATTTTAAGCATATTTTAGCAAAATAAAATAAAAAATTATCCTGTAATTTGATCATATTATATATTATATTATATCATAAACTTACATGTTTTGTAATCATGACACTTTTTCCATTTTATAAGAACAAGTTACAATTTTCAGGCTGATCTTGTTCTTATAAAAATGGGGCTTTATTGGCCAAATTTCAGCCTGGTGTTCTTAATCCGTTTGTTCTTATATGCGGGTGTTTACTGTAAAGCTTCAACACCGTGTCCAGGATGGTATACCATGGGTCGTGATAACGGCGTCTGTTTTGTGCACAGGCACACCAAGAGGGCAAGTTACTTCACGAAAAACTTATTGTAAAGCCAAAAAACCTCACTACAGCTAGTCAAACTCTTCTCACGGGTAGTATTACGAGTACGGGTTTATGTGAAAACACTACTGCACTACCACTACTACTACTGCTTTGATCTACATTCCCTATTTACTCGAATAAACGCCTCTCAAATGAACACCCCAGTTGGAAGCAACTTTACCAATAACCGCAGCCAACGATAAAACGCCGCACCCAATCAGAAAAATGCGGAGTTTATTCTAGAACTCGTTCAACTTGGTAATCTACAACATTCATACTCTCCTTTCTCAGCAAAAAAGCGAGACTTCAGAACTCTAAGCACCTTTCTTTTAACATGTTTACAAATGATTTACGGTAATTTTTGTCAGTGCTTAAGAAATGTTTTTGCAAAGTTAACACAGCATCCGAAGCGCGAAAAACGTATAACGCCGCGACGTGTTTAATCGAGTAAATAAGGAAGCTGGTATATCTATCTTCATATAAAAAATGTCTTTATCTTCTACTTATCTCTTCAGTGAAAAACAGGAGGATCTTGAACATTGTTGTGATATCCTCAGAAACGAACTCAAACTTTTCTTCACACTGGAAGGTATATTAACATTGTGCATTCATATTGCTAATGACACAAAAACACTGTTTGTTATCAACAATATATATAGTTTCGCCGAACCGGTGAAATAATACGTGGTGCCTGAATCAATTTGACGAGTGGGAGGAATTATCGAAAGAAGAGTGGAATGTTGCTAATTTCCCTTTCAATTTAACCTTGGCGCGTTTAGCAGAAAGCTTTTCCACAATAAACTCCCCGAGAATTTAACAATAACTTCCATTAAGTTATTATCCCAATAAAGATTGAAAGTGAGAACGCATTTAAAGTGAAAATAGGGACGCACAATTCTTGGCCATCACCGCGATACAGAAGGTTTGCAGGAATCCGAGATCATTTCCGAAACAAACTGTGAGAGTGTGTCACCTAGACAGTCAGTGAAGGAGTGAAACTTAAAATTGTCGTTTAACAGCTGAGCTAATAAGGCAAATTGGCCACCCTTAAAGGGTTTCGATTGTCTGTGTTGCTAGTTGTTGTTGTTGTTTTTGTGGAATAGTCAAGCGAAACAAAGCTGCACACGAGAGGGTCCGCCTCCCAAAAAGCTTGAGTGCACCGCGGCCTTTTCTTGTTTATCTTGTTTACACCTGATAAACAAGGGATTACTATAACGAACGTGTACCAAGGACTAATAAAAAAAAACAGTTTCAAGACAAATGATATTTGGTCGTTACATTTTCAGATTGGCGTAGAACAGACTATCACAAAATGCAAGAGGCCAAGCTTCTTGATATTCTCCATTGCCTTAAAGATAAACAAAGAGAAACTTGCTGAATTGAAAAAGAACTTGGTGAGTAATTACTAGCGTCTTTTTTTGTTTTAAGATCAGTTAACTCTCTAATTGTTAATGTAACCCATGTCTGCAGATTGTTAGCCAGGATGCTTATTTGCTTTTTATTTCACCCAAGCATAAAAAAGTCGCGGATCTGATCTTACTAGGCCAATGTTTAATTCCATCATTCCATATCCTCTCTTGATTCCATCTATCGTAAACCATTCTGGCTGAATAGAAGACAAAACTGATTGATCAGGGAAGCTGGGTGTAGACTAGTGAAATGGAATCACGAGACAGAACGCCAAATCACTTTTCCGTTTTTGTGAATTTTATCATTAACATATTTTTTTAAAAAAACGAAGATATGATCGTCGCAGTAGTTATTGCAATTTAAGAAATTACAAATTGACCCGAAAAAGTTTCGGGACTTCATCAAGATTCGAATCCATGGCCTCTGCATTAGCCCTGCAGTGCTTTAACAACTGAGCAATGAAGACCCATACATTGGGAGCAGGCCAATAATGACTAACAGATTTGTTTTATTCTTCTTGATTTCAGATTCTTTCCTATTCTGCTGTAAATTGTAAAAACGCAAATACTTATAAATGTGTAAATAGAAACTAATTTAAACCACTACTTATAGTGATAAGAGTATAAATTGTATAAGTAGCTCTAAGTATTGGTCGATAAAGGAAATCTACTTCATTAATATTTCTTCTGTATTCCGAGTCTCCATCTAAAGCACATTCTCCCTTGAAGAAAGCTAAACATTCAGTGTATTTGTTCAGTCGAGTTCTTTTAAAGCAGGTTTAATAGTTTTTTTCCCGCTTTTTTGGTTAAAGATTCTATTCTATTCTTGCAACGTATCATGTAAATATGTAAATAGAGAAAAAAAAAATAGAAGTAGTTAATTGTATAATTGTTAATACTTGAACTGAGCGACAAATTTTTATTTTTGTCTTTTTTTCCTCGAAATGGAAGTAACTCTTTCGTATTTGATTAATACCATGCAGTCATTTTTCCTTACAAGTAAGAAACGTTTGTATGAGCCCTGAACTGACAAAAGCAGACAGAACAAATTTAAGATATGATCAAGACAACAAAAAAACAAAGTAGGTTATAATCACAGCTTATTCCAGACAGCATGCATGCATCAGTCCTTAATGGTCATTTTTTTGGTTTGATTTGGTTTTAGAAAATCGATTACATCTTTACAATTCATGCAAAACGTTGATGTTGTATATAAGGTGTAGAATGACTTTATCCGTCACGTGATTTAACTAGGTTGCTATGCCGGTTTCATCCAATCTGATGCACTACTGATATACAATCGGGTTCATCCTAATAGTGACGCATGCGTTTATGTCACTCTTTGTGTGAATACGTACATTGGATCTTTACTGTGCAAATTTCTTGTCTCTTACACGTTTTTGACTTTCGTTAAAAAACTGTCTTTGTTTTCACTCACGGCAAGTCAGTCAAGCTTTTTCCATTTCTTTTTTTTTTACGTCATAAGTTCATTTATATCAAGTTTTCTTACTACTAAACAATGCCGGACTAATCATAGCTTCTCTGATTTTATTTTACCTCTTGTTTTTTACGTTTCCTGTCGTCAATTTTCCAAACTCTTACAAGCCCATATACTCTTGCACTTTTGCAATTTAGTGGCATGCTTCTTTCAATTTTTGGTAGGCTTTTTTGCAATTTATATGCAATCTTTTTGCAATATAGGCTGGTTTTTCCTAGGATATACTATCAGCCATATTTGCACAGTAAAAAGACAAATGGGTGTAGTCAGGTAAAGTTGTCACATTCCAACGGCTGCGTCACGGTTATTAATGACTTACTCAGTGCAAAGGAATGGAGGAATACGAAGCCTGTCTGACGTCATTCTATACAATCCTACCTATAACGTGGTCAAGAGTTTGTTTGTTTTAATTTTCCTTTAAAATAAATTCTGTCTCAACAAATTATCTTTGAAGTGTATATTTTATCATACTGATTTGTTTCCTGTGCTTGCATTGCTGTTTGGAATCGAGAATTGGTGAGCTTTTTTAATTGTTCACCAAAAAGATATTGCAAATTTGTCCACCTCTCTGGTGTCTGCAGCTATGTTCTCACGAAACTAACGGATCCGGGTAAAAACAAAACAAAAACGACAGATCCGAGGAGTCTTTGGTAACTCTTTTCGTTTTATTTTGTACAATTCCTGAACTTTTTTCTCGACTGGCTGAGTACAAAAACGACGAGACACTTTCGTCTGGGCTTTCATAAGTCCAGTAGAAAGCCATTGGCAGATAACTTGTGTTTAGAAGCAACAGTTTCTTTTGAGACTCCATATCACTGCCTTTGGATCAGTTCGTGTGAACGTAGCATGCTTCATACAGCCTGGGATCACTTACTCCTTGTAAATAGATAATATTGTAAATAAAGAACACCAGTACGTGACTTGTGTTTTGCAAACTGCGTCATGTTTTCCTGGTTGCCCGCATCTGACCGTTTGTGGAAAAAATACTGTCCTCGCGCAACGCTTGTTATAGCGCTGCATTATTTTCCCACTAATTTGTGTCAAGCTAAAACAAATGGGTATGTTAGGAGGAGGGTTTCACTATCACCTCAGTTATTCTTATACCTCGCACCCCTGAGGAGAGCAGTTGATACATGCAGAGGGTAAAAGGAAAAGTGGTAGGAGACAAACTACAGGGGAAGGGTAGCCTGAGAAAAGAGACAAGATTTCTCTACGCCATCTCTGGTTTCCCATAGTGGTAGATCGTTAATAAAGGTAGCACCTTTTTGATCTTCCCCATCTGGGGCTCGAATTTTTTTCCCGAGTTTCCATTTGATTCAAAAAACGTTTCATGTTCAACTTCTCCTAAGGATGACTGCGTATTTTTCTGAGTATCTATTTTTTCGTTTCTCCATCGTTTTAAATACTTTTTGGAAAAGAATTTATTGTGCGCAAATTTTAAGGTACGACAAGTGTAGATCTATCTCGTTACTTAAAACAGAGAATATAGAGATTAGACCATCCGAGCGTCAAACGGTCGTTTCCAAGACGTTAAAGACAAACAACATTTAGACTACCTTATTATAGGAAATTAACGCTCCATGAAAGTAACGCGAATCGTTAAAATTCGCGTCAATTTAAGTCGCGTTCATTTTTTTGAGCGTTAATTTCCGCGACGTTAATTAAGTGCAGCGTTAATTTCCGCGCTCTTAATTTCCAGTATTTTAACCCCAATTTTGGAACCTGTCCAGACATTCTTGACACCCAAAAAACATTAACTACAAGCTTTCTTTCCTTCCATTTATCCTTTATTTTTCATCTTTCACAAAAGCTAAGGCGAAGGTTTACAATAGTTCGAGTTCATCTTCATCGTTGTCGCTGTCAGAAGTGATGTCAATATCTTCTCCTTTGACCAACTGTGTCTTAATCGCGTTAATTTCCTTTAATATGAAATTGTACCCCCTCTTTCGCGTTAATTTTCTTTATTTGAAAGTCGTTTTCCATTAAATTCGCGTTAATTTAAGTCGCGTTAATTTTCAATACCTTAATTTCATGGAGCGTTAATTTCCTATAATAAGGTATAAAGCTGGTCAACACTCACAGTGGTCGCGGTCGCCTATGAGAGGTTTTAGCTACAGGGCTTTGACTTGGAAAGCTTTGGTATTGTCGCTTAGACGAGAAGTGGCGCATGTAGTTACGATTGTAGTTTAAACGCAGGCGACGAAGGGAAGAAGCGATTTTTCTGCTTCTCCCTGGGGCCCCCAAGATGCCACTGCGGAGGACAGGCAGAGACAGGGTGATGAGAGAGCAATTCTGGTCAGTCAGGGAGGGGGCCCTAAAAAACGTCAATCCCAGCATCCCAATTTTTTCATCCCGATGGTTTTATGGGCTTATATTGATTCGGAAAATGTGGTGTGTAATAATTGGCCATGGTAAACAAATTCTCGTTAATTAAAACATCGAACAAAAGAAGCAATGCTGATTTTACAGTTTGGAATATCTACTTTTGGTTACCAATATTTCGGAAGGCAAGGCCTTCCTTTTTCAGGGTGTTACATACAAAAATCTATTGAAAGTCTCGGACTGGGCCCCGGGTAGCCCCGGGCCACTAGGCTACCGGGCCGTCAAAATAATTAAATGGGCGGGAGAAAGTGGAATACGAAGAGATATGGTACGTAACCGATTATAATCTCCGCGCATGTGCGTCTTTGTAAGGAGTTTTAGGAGGGCTTATAAAAGGACTAGAATCGGAACCCATGACTCCTGTCTAGAAAAAATGCTTCTAAACATGTCAGCACTGGCTCATCAAATTATCTTTTGCATTAATAAGTTTAAAACTAAGCTTCAAAATTTCATTAATCGAATTCATCCGTGCATTTGGAGGCCGGATGGCTTGATGCTTTTTTTGCTTACAGTTAGCCTGTTCCAGGTTCTCAGATAGAGATGACGAGTAAGTGAAAGGCACACGAGCGAGCGCCTGATTTGGGAAAAGGTAGCTGTCTTCTCTCCTATAACCCGTTATGTCTGTCTTAGGGCGTTTTCTAATTCTCTGATTTGTCCGGTCAGTTTTTGCCAAAAACTGACCGGTCAGACCATTCCCGTCAGTCGTAATGAGAGTTTCACTTTTTATCAAAACTGACCAGCCAGATCAGTAAAGAAATCTTAACTAGTGTACACGAAGGAATTTGTTTTTCAGCAAAAACTCTTGGAAAAAGCCTATTTCATTTTCGAACTGACTGGTCTCTGGCAACAGTCTGGGCGGCCAGTTCTGACACTGAAAGCTACTGAAATGGAAAGCGGGCTTAGACTGTCTGCGGCACAGGCTAGGAAAGGCGGTTTCCTCCAGTTTTGTTCTCGTAATTTTTCGGACCCGACTATCTCGGAGCCTGGAACAGGCTAGTCAACAGGTAGATGACGTAGAGGGACTAGGAGAACCTTTTTACTCAGGCACGGATCCACACCGGTTTCCGCACCGCGGGCGTTTTACGAAAATCGGTCAAATTTTTTTCATAAATAATCTGTCCAATAAAAAACTTCCCAAGTTGAAATCTGGCTAATATCCTGTCTGAATGACCCAGAGAAGGCCCAGGAAAGGGGACGTTAGGGAGTTGAAATTAATCCAAAAAATTTCCTGGGAAAGCTTGCCCCCGGACTCCTTTAGAGGCTTGCGCTTACGGCGCTCGGGGTTTAGTAAATCGGTCAACATTTATCCTAGATCCGCGCCTGTTTACCTGAAGGGGGAAGCTTATAAGCGGCAGTTTACAACGGTATGAAATTAAACTGCCCGTTGCTCCCCCTCTTTAGCTTGTTCGTATCCTTATGCCTTTTGTTCTTCGCGGCGGTGAGTTTTTAAAAATTGCTGGTGTAAACTTGCTGTAGTCCCGTGAAGCGTGAAGACCGAGAGAGAATGGGCGCAAACCGTTTGGTTCTTCAATTTTTGTACCCGTTGATTGGTTTACGTTTTTTAAAAGCCACGTTGTGATTGGTGGATTTTGCACGCCCGGTATTTTCAATCATTTGTTCGATCAAATTTTCCAGTTGTGTCAAACAAGTCAAACACCTGAGTTCTCGCTGATCAGTTGCAGAAATGTAAGACGTTTTTCGCGATAGTCCTCAGTCTCACCGAGAACTTCTTTAAGTTCAGCCGAGGAAAGCGATGGAACCAGAGTGCGTTACCCCGAGCAAAGAGAACTGTTCAGTGGTCAACAAGGTTCATTCGAAACGTGCTCAGTGGTATAGTCCGTGTAAGAGCTCTCCAAAAATACCCTTGACGCCGGAGTCTGATCTGCCGACACTTAAACTAACACACTTTGCAAAGATTCCGAAGATATCTTTTGGAACTGTGGTCGTTGGAAACAGTAAAACAGAGCAGTTTGTCGTCTTTAACCCCCATCCATTAATCCAAACACTGGAGATTGAGAAATGCCCGACAGATCAAGGCTTTACCTTGAAAGTTAACGGAAACAAGGAGAACGAAGATTTTAAGAATAACTGTGTCACAGTTCCGCCTAAGAATGAGCTGTTTCTCTCAGTCACATGGGAGCCAAAAGAAGCCCGGAACTATCGCGAAATTATTCGATTTAGGTCGGACAATTCTCCCCAGCTTCAAGTAATAGTGTTTGGAATGGCTACGGCACCAACTAAAAAGAAATCAACAGCAAAACGAAGCTCAAAGTCCCAGACAAACAAGGTATGATGACTGTGTTCGAGTGCATGTACTTTGTGTATCTATCGATGATGATGTACAAGGCAACAGCAATCACTACCCGCTCTTCTTAAAATAATAATTCTAAAAGAGTTGTCGTATAATTCTATAGCTACCCAAACTTGTAACCCTCTGATAGGTACCCTGATCTTTTCTTTAATTTTATGAATTAAATAAGGAGTAAATTCTCAATCCTCGTACCTTTTCTCTCTCTAATAATTATCACATACCCAGTAGGCTTTAAAATCAACAGTAGTGTTACACAAGAATGCATTTTTTAAGCCATAATTTGGCGATTCAAAATAGAAATAAATTTAAAAGTGCGATCAAGGGCCAATCGGCCCTTTTATGCACCGTGTTCTTAACTTTTAATTTGTCAAATTTATAGAATTTTATAATACAGTCAAACCTCTTTAATATGGACAGCAAAGGAACAGAACCAACTGTCTGCTTTACAGAGGTGTCCATATTATAGAGGTAAGGAATGTATGATTTTTGGATTTCTGGGACCAAATGAACTGTCCGTAGTTGAGAGGTGTCCGTATTATAGAGGTGTCCGTAAAGAGAGGTTAGACTAATTAAGTTGATAAATTTTTTGAAATAATTATAATTGTCTATCCTTTCATTGTTCCATTCTAGAAAATGCCCCGACCTATTCTTCAGCCTAGTCAAGTGCTCAATTTTTGCAGCTATCAAACTGATGAAGCAACTGGCTTTTCAAATAGTCCAGCAAACAAGCAAGCTATAAAGAGTTCAAATGGAGCAGATCAGTCTGAGGAGAATTTGCGGCGTGATACTTATTGTGTCAAAAGTGCAAAACTTCAAGCAAGTTCTAAACTCAAGGTTAAATCAACACCTCCTACCCATCCCAGGTCTGCTGCAACACCAACATGCAAGCAATCTGCTGTGAAAACGAAAAAAGTTATTGTTTCAAAGAAGAAACTCTCTCCAACATCAGGTAACTTTTGTTACCAGTCTAAAAATTCTTACTGATGAAATGCATATAATATACATGATGTATACTAACGGGGATGCCAAACAATAAGATGTCTGGGTATGCTAACTTTACTCCTCAGGAGTTTCCATAAAAGGTAGTCACCGGTTATGGGCTCTTACATTTACTAACATCTGTGAAGAGATTATTTATATTAATTATGTTATTAACATTTTATTGTCATGGCTACTAATTCCGATCCAATGCTCTGAAGTTTGTACATGAAAATTTTGACATTTCAATTGGGCCTTACATACAAGTCAAACCACGCCATCACCCATATTATAAATTTTGTAAACTTTTTTGTATTTATTTAGGAACTCTAAAGAAGAAGCCAAAACCCAAAATAAAGTTGACAGTTTCAGCTAAAGGTGTCCCTCAAAGAAAGCTACAGCTTGTCAAAACTCCCAGAAGCAATCTTCCTCGTCATCCAATGCCATTTGCTGCTAAAAACATGTACTATGATGAGAGGTGGATTGAGAAACAAGAAGAAGGTAATATGTACTACCTCATTCCTAGAGGTCTCCCTTACCATGTTAAACATTTGTGCTTGCCTCTGTTCGTGACCATTGTGCCAAGTGGCTTATGTCAGGAGACAAAATGTAAACAGTCCATTATGAAATCTATATTGGAGCAAAATATGTTTTTTTTACCATAACAACCATAACAACAGATAAAGGAAGCTGATGTTTTCAAAAGTTTTATGGAGATTCAATAATTTATTCCAAACCCCCTCAAATAAGTGTTTCTTTTTCTCTTCTTAAATTTGTAATCAGTTTTAGAATAATAACTAACCCTAATCTATTTGTTAAATAATTTAATATTAAGAAGGTAATATGTACTACCTCATTCCTAGAGGTCTCCCTTACCATGTTAAACATTTGTGCTTGCCTCTGTTCGTGACCATTGTGCCAAGTGGCTTATGTCAGGAGACAAAATGTAAACAGTCCATTATGAAATCTATATTGGAGCAAAATATGTTTTTTTTCTACCATAACAACCATAACAACAGATAAAGGAAGCTGATGTTTTCAAAAGTTTTATGGAGATTCAATAATTTATTCCAAACCCCCTCAAATAAGTGTTTCTTTTTCTCTTCGTAAATTTGTAATCAGTTTTAGAATAATAACTAACCCTAATCTATTTGTTAAATAATTTAATAACTGCTTCTGCTTTTCTTGTAGGATTTACTAAGTGGCTCAACTTTGTTTTGACTCCCCCTGATGTATCTGATTCTGGCCTACAAGTTGACATCCACAAAGGTAAAGAATGTTTCACAAAACTTAATTGAACTTACTCTTGCTAGAGATATCAAATTCACTGTGGAGCAGAGAACAGTTGCATTTAGAGAACAGTTTCATTAATTCTACAGGCATGTCACTAAGATTTCAAGTTGCCAGATAAATACAACAAGTAGGCAGGGAATCAAAGAGCTATATAAGGGATTTCCTTTGGTTCCTTTGAAAGTAGCCGCGGACCACATTCATAGTATCTGGGGGAAGTCCCATGGCCCCCTCCTCTTGATGACAGCCCTGTTCTACCAGTAACCATGTATGTAGTTAACCATCAACTAGCATGTACACATACTTACTATTTTATTGATAGCAAATATAAAAAACTTTGAGCATTAATTAACCCTAGTACAGTTAGTGCAATAAAAATAAAACATTGTAATCAATATTTTTTTTTCAGGAAATGTTGCACTTGGGGGATCCAAATCCCAACCTTTGGCCCCCACAAAAGAGGTCCTGTCTTTTAGGCTCTACACTGCTAGACGTAAGATGGCTCGCTTGAGAAGAAGTGCCTGTTTGCTGTACCAGTCAGAACCCCTGGGACACATTATTAGAAAGATAGAAGCTGAAGTGGAGAATGGAGGGCTGGCGATCAGACCTGATAAAAAACTTCATGCTGACTTAGGTTGGTTAATATAATAACCCCAAAAATTTGTTCACATTTTCTGGTTTTGGGGTTAATCTTACCAAACCACTCAACCACAATCAGCAAGTCATAAATTACATCGTAGTTCATTTGAGCATATTAGACAACTGCCTTGCTTAGTGGAGGTGGGTGCCTGAGATGTCCAGGAGCTTCCACCACCTGCTCACACTGAATAATCAGTGGAATAAATTATAAAGGAAGAAAAATAAAGGGGCAGGAGAGGCTGGTGGGGAGTTACAGTAAATGTGAGATCCAAAGGCTAAATAAAGCCCAGTGGCTGCCATGAATTTTTTTCTCCTTGTGTACCTCTGATTGGTGTTGGGAATTAATCATTTACCTTCTACTAATCTAAAAGTACAGTCAACCTTTTCCTCAAAGACAGACAATGTCAGCCAGGGCTGGCTCCAACTAGGTATCCTATAGAGAGTGTACTTCCACTGAAATTACTGAAACACAGCAAGCTATTATAAGACCACCTGTAGGTATCTGGGTCAAAGAGGTGTATGCCGTTAAGAGAGAGTTGACTGTAAATGAATTTTTATTGAAGGAATCAAGCGGCAAGTTGTTGAAATGCTTCTCTCCTATAACCCGTTATGGCTGAGGATTGGACTTGAGGTAAGGTGATCACAGTGACTGTTACCATGTTTACTTGTATAATTCACACGCTTGCTCAAAGTTGTTAGCAAATTCTTGCTTTCTTTTTTTACAGACCATATATGGTGAAATTCTCCCGATCCAGTCAAACAATGACATAGCAGGATTGACACGTTTCCTGACAGAAAGGTTGCTTGGTAACCCGGACATTGCCAATGCATTTGCTCATCCCCAGGTCCCTGGATTATACCGAGAAGGTAAATTTAATTGACATTATGTTATTTGAAAAGTAATAAGAAGTGTCAAAGAAACTGAGTTCATCAAAATTCTTCAAGGCTGTCACTAGGAATTTAATTAAGTAATAATTATGCCAGAAAACTGAGAATCAAACTAGGTTGAGACCCATTTGAATGCGAGTTTCATTTTGACCTACAACATCTACGTTGCCTTAAATCCATCCCCTCTAGATCTTTATCCTATGCTCGTTGTTATGCCTTTGTAATCGTAAATCTTTTTTTCATCTATTTCTCGTGTTGTATTTCTGCAATCAGGTTACGTTGAACAACTAGGAAAGTTTACCCTCAAGAAGTTTCTCCTGTTGGTGTTATTTCTGGATCGTGCAAAATTAACCCGGCTTATTGACCATGACCCATGTCTCTTCAACAAGGAGGCGTCTTTCAAGGTCTGTTTATCTGCAGCCGCACTCTGTACAACGTTAATTCTGTAGTTCTCGAAAGTCCAGGTTCGCAGTAGGAGAGGACCGTGGGAACGAGGTTGAGTCTAGGCTGGACTATAGGCTGTTATCGGATTTATGGTTGTCAAGATTTTTGTGTTACTTCTTTTAAATTTTATACAGTTGCTTTAGATTAATCATTTTTATCGGCATCTTTGTTAGTCACTTTGAAAAATCGCCTCTCTTATGGCATATTGCCACACAACGCTGTGTTAAATAAATGCAACAATAATTACCAAAAAAAATATGCTGCAAAATTTTGGGTTAGTATATGTTATGGTACAACGTTTTTCACAAAAGTTTCCTGTATCTTTCTCTGCGGTTTCAGTTACGTTTCGTATTGGTGCTCGAGGAAAAGATTGTCGGACAGGCTATCATTCTACATACAGCACTTAAATTCACTTATCTGGTTCTCGTGGGACGTAAAAGAACCCAGACCACTGTTCGAAAAGAGCCCCGGTGGTGTGGCCAACCTTTCCTGGGCTGGGTGGGTTATCTGTAAGGACACACTTAAATTGGAGCCCTGCTGTGTTGTGTGTCCTGCACCCAGTATGGTAGAACTGATTAAATAATGATTAAATGAGAAAAATAACAAACCGCCTCCCCTATCATCCCACCTGAAAGCATTGTACACAGGCTAAATTATCAAGGGAGATGGCCCCTGTATTAAAGTTTGTACTTACATAGTTAATAGAGCCAGAATAGAACCTGCTTTGGCCTTTTATTTTACAGTCAAATCGCAGCATTTTGCTGAGTTTTTCTCGTGAGTACCTCAAAGGAGAAGGCGACCTGACAAAGCATCTTTACTTTTTGGGTTATTCTGTCACACATTCCCAGGTAAGTTTGAAATTAATATTCTCAAACTGAAAGAACTCTTTCAATAATCTCGAACCCAGCGTTGCGAGTTTGTTTAACTCCCGCATTCCATCTCACATTTCTCCTTCAGGATCAGCGTTTTTCTGACACCCCCGTCACTTTTGTTCATTTAAAGGTGTACATGTCGTGATGGAACACCATGTTCCGGGTTTGTTGTAACTTCTTTAATCTCCAAACCATGAATGAAGTCAATGAACAATAGTTGGCCATCAAATCTAATTTGGCATTTCTAAGCATTCCACCGAACGTTACTTGTCAAGTGCAACCTTTCAGTATTTTCTCGGTACTTCTTTCGTTAAACATTTTGTTCTTTTTTCTTATTTAGAGAGCAATTGACGAGGTTGATTATGCAGTGAAAAACATAGCCATTGATCTCAGGGATGGCTTGCGCTTAACGTAAGTGCCTGAGTTTTCAGTACAACTCATACGAGCATCATTTTCGGGCAAAAAATTTGCCCGGCAAATTGTTTCCTGGTTGCCTCTTCTGCATATATTAACACAATTTTTGCAGCATGAAAATTAGCTTATTTCATGCAGCAAGGGAGCGGAACTTTGAGCCGTCCCCACGATCTGTACGCCTGATGGAACAGGCCAATGAAAATTTTTGCACGAGTCAGACTGTGAATGACAGACATGATGTAACAAACGTCTTCCAGCAAACCACTTATTGTACTTCAAGTTGTTCAAAAAATGTTTTCATATAACTCAACCTTCCTTGAGTCTTCGTAGTTCGAGCTGCATGTCGTGAATGTTGCTTTACTGATTTGATTTACACAGGCGCGTTGCGGAGCTTTTCACTCAAGACTGGAAGCTTTCAGCAACCCTTCGTGTTCCTGCCATCTCCAGATTGCAGGTGAATGCATAACATTAAAATAAAATAGCTGGTGGAATAAAGTTGCAAGATTTAAAATGGAATGGTTTTCAAATATTTATCAACAAATTCGACGGCTGGATAATCTTCCGTCCTTAATACTAGGCAAACTTGTTCAGTTTTCAGCTTTTTTCTTGTTGTTTCTTACAGAAAATTCACAACGTCGATGTTTTCATGAACGCGTTGAAAACAAGAGGCGTTCTTGGAGGTAAAGTTCTGGACAAGTGATCTTTTCATGCAATTTGCTCTTCTTTTGCTCGCCGTAAATCCTCGACAACGAACCATAACCACGATTCACCATTGTTTTTTAGGGAATTTGATTGATGCGCGTCATGTTGTGGATGGACACAGGGAAAAGACACTTGCTCTTTTGTGGCAGATTATCTTTCATTTTCAAGTAAGTTGTGGTCCATGTGATTCAAGTTTACTACGATACCAGTCGTTCGTAAAATGTTAGCGTAACTTAATAACTTATTGTGTATCAGTTACTAATTTTGGTGCACGTCTGACGTGATAAACATTATACTATACCACCTTCTTACCTTGCTGAAAAACCGCTTGTATGAACTGCCGAAAAAAAGGGATGAAAAGATATTTACCAGTAACCGAGCCTGATGAGTCCAAAATGCGGAAAGTAAATAATCAGTCACACTGACTGACTGTCTGACTGCCGGCGGAACATCGGGTTTATTTCTAAATGGTATGCAAGGCACTGATGCGTTTTAATAAAATTTCAGGAAAAGACTAATATTTCCTTTTTAAAATGACCGGCTTGGCTAGCCAGCCCTGACTTTTGGAAAGCGCTCTAAGAGAGGATTTTGGCTTTAGTGGTTGTAGTTGTTGTTACCCAGACAGAATAAATTGAATTGAATTTGGAAACGCGTCTATACCACTGGAAACTCGAACTAGAAACGATCATTAACAGACTGCTTTCTCCTTGTTTTGTTTTTTTCAAAAAAGGTCAAAGTTCTTTTAAATGAAAAACTTCTTAAAGAGGAAATAGCTCACTTAGAAAGTACCAGACTTCTCCGCGATCGGTTGACTGCTGCAGAGAACTGGGACGGGAATAATGATGATTTCCTGGGTAAACGTCGTGACTCCGCGTCAGACCTGTATTTCAAGTCAGACAGGCTTCGCTTGCTCTTCAAGTGGTGTAAGATGGTTTGCAGGATTTACGGGTTAAAGGTCAGGAACTAATTATTACTGTTTTCAATGTAAAGCACGTTAGATTTGCCAGTATAGTTCGTTTGCATCCGTAAATGATCGCATTAGTGCCTTTCAAATAAGTGCCCTTCATCCTTTCTCCATTATAGAAAAAAAATTTGAGTACTAGGGCTTAGAAGACCTTACAGGAAACAGGACTTTGAGAACTACAATTCAGACATTAGTGTTTTTGCTAACAGATACCTTCTAGATATCTGTTACAGATTGTATTTACTGGAAATAAAGACAAAGTAATTTTGTGTCCAAAATTAGTAAGCACCCGAGGCGCTAATTCGAGCATTTACGATACTTCATCCATTCATCGATGTATGTAATCGTCTTTTCCTGTCGGCCACAGTCTGCTTCATTTTAGATGTTTTTCCTTTCTTTTTTTAATGTCTGACCCATAGCATTCTTATTTTTTATCCTGACTCTACTAAAAACATTAATAATTTTTTCATCATTTTAGATCGAGAACTTCACGGTTTCATTCTCAGACGGCCGAGCGCTATGCTATCTTCTCCACCATTACCACCCTTCACTCCTCCCCCTTGAACTAATCAAAGAGCAAACTAGTTTGACCTGTAATCCGGGGGTACATGACACAAGTGACAGCGAGGGGGAGGAAGACGTGCAAGTGAAGTCATGGACAGCAACTTTTAGCCCAGGTGAAGTGTGATCAACGATAACTCATTTTTGTTGGCCGGCGGTCTATTTAAATCGAAACGTTTTATATTTACTTTTTTATTTTTTCTTTCAGGTTCTGGAAAAAACACTCTTTTAGAGGAGCTCAAGAACAACGAACGTGAAAACCTCCGTTTGATCGCTGAAAAGGTATAAGTGGTAGTAAACAGTGAGCTTAAGCCGTTAAATCTGTTATTTTTTTGGTGAAAATCGGTTTTTCTTCACCCATTTGTACTTTGCTTGAGTGCATTTTTTTGTAGACAGATTTTATTTTAAGGAAACAAAGGACTTGTTCTGTATAAAGTCGTCAAATCAAACCGGATTCCTTCCTCATTACCAAAGGAATGAAACGTGCTTTGTTCCATTCTAGGTCAAAGAACTTGGCGGAGTGCCCCTGATGACAAAAGCTTCGGATATGTCGCACACAATTCCCGACGAAAAGGTACGATAGTTAAAGAAACTGCTTTTCTTCTTTTCAATTGTTTGATATAACCTTTCCCGCTCTCAATGGTTGTTTATTTGTAGGTTGTGATCACCTATGTCGCCTATCTGTGCGCGCGGCTATTGGATCTTAGGGAGGAAACTAAGGCTGCGCGTTGCATACAGATGGCTTGGAGACGATTCCGACTTAACAAGCAGTTGGAACGGAAAAAGGTTTGTGTTATACCTTTATCCGCGCAAATATCCTAATTGCTGTATATTGATCGGACCCAAAAAGTTGGAGCTCTAAGCGATACAGGTAGCCAGTGTTAGCTGTGAGGAAAAAAAAGGTATGAATAAATTCACTTTAGGTTTTATTATTATTCTTGATCAGTCCGTTGCTTGAGAAACTCAAAGGAAGGAGAGGTCCAACGTTATTGGGAGATTACTTTCCGCGCCGTTTCAGACTTAATCAGCAGCGCGAAAATAATCTATGTCGGGAGACTTCCCTTAAGCTGGTAAGGTCTTAAATGCTCTAGTTACTGAACTACAGGAAGAGCAATAGCTTGTACGCACTTGCTGTGGCAATAGGGGTATATATAGACAGGCTAGGAGACGCACGATGAAAACCACTTTCTCCTCGCTTTGTGTAATGAATGTTCAAGCTCTATTTTTGTTCCTTTCCTTTCAGAACGTCTCCAAGATTGTTGTTTCTCTTCAGGTAGGTTAATGTTTATGATAAGATGCCGCTCCAGGATTTCTCTTTATCCATGCATCACAGACTAAGAGAAGACTCCAGTTTTTCTTAAAGATAGGAAATGGAGAAAAATAAGTAGAGCATTGTCTCCCTGGTGGCTTAGGTGTAGCGACTACTCCCTTATGTCTGTTCCCTCGCGCAATCCGTGTTTGTTAGGACATGCACTTTCCATTACTCTCACAACTACTTAATTCATTTTTCTTTTTGTTGTTGAATTCTTCTCTTTCAGGCACGTGCTAGAGCTGCGTTAGCACGCCGTAGATTTCGAGCCATGAAACAATCCGCTGTCGTTATTCAGTCTGTTTACCGTAGTTACATGGTTCGTAAACAGCTTCGCGTTCGCCACCAGGCCGCCCAGTGTATTCAGACTCACTACCTGGCGTTAAAGAAAGGACGAGAGGTCTTGAGCTGGTACGCAAACCTTCGACAGACGGTTGTGCGACTTCAAACAATTGTCTTGGCCAATCAGAGGAAGATGCGTGTTAAAAGAAATTTGGCCGCTACAGTGATACAGGCTACTTGGAGAGGATACACTGTGCGAAGATGGCTTGACGAGCAGTGTGCCGCTTGTGTTAAGATTCAAGCACTGGTCAGAAGTGTCTTGGAACAGAGAAGGTTTTTACAGGTTAAAAACGCTACTGTGTTGATCCAAAAGACCTACAGAGCGACATTGTTGGGAAGAAAAGAAAGGCAGCGCTTCCTTCATCTCAGGAAATGCGCGGTTACACTACAGTCGTGCTACCGAGGCCAGCGTGATCGACGGCTCGTGAAGCAAATTCGTGCGGCTGTCAAGATTCAAAGCCTCGTTCGTGCGTGGCGAATGCACTCGAAGTTTCTACGTCTCAAACGAGTTACTACCAAAATACAAGCTTGCGCTAGAAGGCATCAAGCACAGAGGAGGTTTGCCGAGGTGAAAGAAGCTGTGCGAGTTCTACAGGTCTATTTCAGAGCTTTTCTTCTAGGCCGACGGCAGAAGATAGAGCACGATACTCAGAGGGCCGCCTGTGTCAAGATTCAGTCATTAGTGAGATGTCAGATTGAAAGAAGAGTTTTCTTACAAAAGAGACAAGCGGCGGTCAGATTGCAGTCCTTTACTAGAATGTCTCTGGCGCGGAAGGGATACCAGAGACTTTACACAGCCACGTTGTTGATTCAGAGAAGGTTTAAGGAATTGCTTTGCGCGAGAAACGCTCAGAGAAACTTTCAACTCATGAAACTATCCGCTATAAAGATCCAGTCGTGTTATCGAGGCTACACATGTCGTGAGCAGTTTACACTAGTTAAACAGGCCACCATTAGGATTCAATCCCATGTGCGTTGTTTCCTAAGCAGAAAAAAGTTCTTGGCTTTAAAACGTGTTTCAATTATCATCCAAACTCGCTATCGTGCCTTGCTGCTTGGGCGTCAACAGAGGCAGAAATATCAACACACCCATCATGCCATTGTTCGACTACAGGCAATTGTCAGAGGGAGGCTTGCGCGTGAAAATCTACTCAAGCAGCAAAGATCAGCAGTAGTGATTCAAGCGAAGTACCGGCAGTACTCCGCTGGAAAAAGATATCGTCAGCTGAAGAGCTCAACCGTGGCGATGCAGCGGCGTTTTCGCTCCGTCTTGCTGACGCGTGAACACGTTTCGCGTTACCAGCAGATGCGAACATCCGCCCAGTTTATTCAAGCGTGCTACAGAGGGCATCTCGCAAGAAAGTTCTACAAGATGCTAAAAGCTACAGTTGTGTTGCAGTCTGCAGTTCGTGGTTGGCGAGTAAGAAAGGATATTAAACAGCAGAATATGGCTGCATTAGCGATCCAGGGATTCTATAGACGTCATGTGTACCGTAAGAAGTACCTGGCAATAAGAAAGGCTGCTATTGTTTTGCAGAATCAGTATCGTCTGGTTTCTTTGGGACGTAAAACCCGCTGTGATTTCCAGCGAGTTAGGCATGCGGCGATAAAAATCCAGTCATCATTTCGTGGCTACCAAGTAAGGAAGCAAGTTCTACTTCTCACAAGTGCGAAGAAAATACAGGCAGTTTATCGAGGTTATGTCGCTCGAAAATCCTACAACATTTCTCGCAATTCCATCATTATAGCTCAGGGAGTTGTACGTGGTCATTTGGCGCGGAAACATTACTCCAGTCTCAGGAATGCCAGTATTATGCTCCAGAGACGGTACCGTGCCCGCGTGATTGGCATGCAGCAGTACTTACACTATCACGTGCAACGTGGTGCATGCATTCTCTTACAAGCAGCCGTGCGTGGTTACCTGTATCGTAAACGGTACCAAGAGATGAGAAACGCTGTAATAATCCTTCAACAGAGGTACAGGGCTATGGCTGCGTGCAGAAATCAGCATACCCGCTTCCTAGCTATGAAAACCGCTGCCATCTGTATCCAGGCCTGTGTGCGTGGTTGGATTGACCGAAAACGGGTAACCGAACTAAGAGCGGTGCGCGTTATTCAGGCTACGTTCAGGATGTACAAAGTCAGGAAGGAGTACCTCGCCTTGAGGAGAGCTGTGGTGCAAATACAGGCTCAAACACGCATGATCCAACAGCGACGACAATTCAACAGTCTCAAGAAGGCGGCGCTTGTTGTCCAGCGGAGGTTCAGAGCGACTGTCCTTTGCAAGCATGACCAGTTAGTGTATCACTTCATCCGGGGTGCGGTTATTACAATTCAAATGGTTTTCAGAGGATACTTGGTGCGAAAGAGACTGAGTAGAATGAATGAGGCCGCTGTTAAGATTCAAGCTTACACTCGTAGGCTCCTAGCGAGGAAGAAATATCAAGCTACCAAGAAAGCTACACTCGTTTTACAACTAAGATGCCGTGCCTGGTTGCTTGGGCGAGCGGTGGCCCGTAACTACAATGCATGGAAGTCTGCTGCGCTTGTAATCCAAGCGAGTTATCGAAGGTACAAGAAACGCATGGAAATGAAACGCAATCGAGCAGCTACCAAAATCCAATGCGCTTTCCGCCGTCACACTTGTCGCTTTAAATTTCTGTCCCAGAAATCTGCTGCGGTCGTCATCCAGGCAGCTTTTAGGTGTTATGTTACTCGACGATTCTATCTAAATCTGCGCTGCGCCTCAACAGTTATTCAGCAACGGTACCGAGCAGTCAAAAAGATGAAGGACTTGCGTCAACATTATATTGCACAGCGAAAAGCTTTTATAGCGCTGCAGGCCAGAGTTAAGGGGTGGCTTTGTAGACGACAGTATAACTCGATCAGGGTAGCGGCCATCGCTATTCAGACGCGCCATCGAGCTTGCATCAAGGCCCGTGAACAGAGAAAAGACTTCTTGAAGCTAAAGAATGCTACTATCATTTTGCAATCTTGCTGGAGAATGGTATCGGCACGCAGAAACTATAAAAAACTCAGAGACGCAGTGATTAGAATACAATCAGTGGTACGCATGAGGAAGCAAGCAGTGTTTTACGAAAAACTCAGGAATGCCACCTTGACGTTGCAGAAGAGATGCAGAGCCAATCAACTCTGCAAACAACAGCTTGAGCGCTACCAAACCATGCGTAAAAGCGCTATTATAATACAGTCACGGTTCCGTGGCTTCAAAGCAAGAAAATGCGTTCAAAAGATGGTAGCTGAGAAGAAGAGACGTCAACAAGCAGCATTCAAGATTCAGCGGTATTATCGAGGATATTGCCTTATGAAGGAAACCTACTTTGCCTATCACGTGACACGCGGCGCAATTATTACCTTGCAGGCGGCATGCCGCATGTATGCAGCACGAAAATTCGTCCGCAAGCTTCGAGCTGTTATCACGATGCAGGCTGTATGCCGTGGGAAAATTCAGCGGCAGAAGTTCCTGACGGTGAGAAAAAGGATTTGCAAAGTTCAAGCCACAGTACGTCGCAATCAAGCCAGAACAAGACTTGAGAGAACGCGAAAAGCGGTTGTTGCAATTCAGCAGTGGTACAGAGCTCAAATAGCCATGAAGAAAACCTATAAAGAGTATCATGATCTCAGGGATGCTACAGTCTTGATCCAGTCTCATTTCAGACGTCACAGTCAGCGAGAGGCTTACCTTTATGAAAGGCAAATGGTAGTCCTTACACAATCTCTGTTGCGGATGCGTCTCGAAAGGAATAGATTTCTTCAAAAGCGTTCGGCGGCCATCGTAATTCAACGTCACTATCGCTTGTGGATCTTTGGGAAGGAGGTTCGCCATAGATACCTGAAGATGCTTTCGGCAATTATCACGATGCAGGTATTACTAAAATGCTATGTCTTTCTCGGGATATGTGGATACGAGTCTGTTTAATCGTAGTAACCCTTACAAAATTATGCGTTGAGGTCTCGCAAACAGATATTTTCGTTAACACTCTCCAGAGTGTAAACGTTCCTAAAAGGGTTACCATCGTTCCCCTGAGGAAGGACTTCAACGCGCAAATTTGTATGTGTTACAGGCCTTAATGATTCGCGTGGGCATAATCTAAGGGCGTTTACCATGAATCATAACTGACTGGTCAGACCAGTACAGTCGCAAAGAGAATAATATCACATTAATCAGAAAGCATCCAATCAGCTCAGTCTATTCCTTATTATTAGCGAAAATTCTTGTAAAAGCCTTATTTCATTTCCAAAATGACTAGAAAGGTCCAGCCGGCGATTCATGACTTTTTGTAAAGTGCCCTTAAACTAAACTGGTTTTGAGAAGAAAAGGACGTAGGTTGTCGTCAGCTTTTGAGTGATCCTCTAAAATAATTTCTTTCTTTTTTCAAACTTTCACACGTGTTAGGATAAAAAACATTGGATAACTTCAATACTGGTATCCAATCTTAGCTTGTTTCAGGCCGGTCCATTTTTGCTAGGGAAAAAACGACTTCGTTATAAGTCATTATAGTCATTCTTCTTGGCGTCTCGACGTTAGGTGAACGGTACTTGGGTTCCTCTGAAGTCTTTTCTTTTCTTTGTTTTCTCTTGTACTTAAAAGAGCTTTTTCCGAGGTTGGAAAACAAGACGTGAATTTACCAGACTAAAATCCGCCATACTCATCCAATCCAACATTCGAGGATGGATGGAGAGACGAAAATATCACTACACAAGACAGCTCGTCATCGGCTTGCAGGCTACAACAAGAGCGTGGCTTTGTCAGAAAAATTATCGTCAACTCAAAGACGCTACGGTTCTTCTTCAAAGAAGAGTTCGCGGAAAAAACGCTGCTAGAAAGGCCAGGCAAGAATATCTGGAAACAAAGCGCGCAGCCGTTGCACTTCAGGCCTTTTATCGCGGATGGCAGGTTCGCCGTAACGTTATTAAGCTTAAAGCAGTGATTCTGATCCAGTGTTGGTTCCGCGCCACTGCTGCAGCAAGAAAGGCTAGGGAAGAATACAAAGCGCTCAAAGAGGCTTCCCTTGTTTTGCAAGCCGCTTACCGCGGATACTGTGGGCGGATGTTCACTCGTCATCTACGTGCAGCTCGCACTATCCAGGCTGTGGTCAGAGGATTCCTCATCAGAAGAAGGATTAGAGTAAGAATTAAATCTGCGTAGTGTGGGGATGTGATTATACCTCACTGACTTGTGTTAAGTGGCTCAGTTGAATTCGGCTGCTTGGAATCTTTCATAAACAAGTTAAAATAAACTACCTTTTCTGGGCTTTCTAAACCCTAGATGTCGTGCAGCAGTTGCTTAGCGCCTTTTAATATTCGATCTTTCACAAGGATTTATACCACAGAAAATAATAGGTTTGCCTTTCACGGAAACATGCATCAAACATAAGATGACATCGGTCCTTCTCATGGTTGCCACAGATAAGTCCGAGAAAATTTGCATTAAAAAAACATAAAAACAAAACAAAAAACAGGGAAATTGAAAACACGGATCTGTTTTTCAGCCAAAAAGTCGCGTCACTGTACGTCGTGTTTTGTTGGAATTTTATTGAAAAGCAATTTTCTTTACTGAACTGGTCGTAGAAATAACACAAGTGCTGTTTCTGAGCCATGTATTTGCACTAATAGCTAAAAAAAACCCAATGATTTTTTCCTTCCTAGCGACAAAAAGAAAAGCGTCTGATTCAGTTGAAACAGTTTGCTTCAGCTGTGTACCATCATATGAGTGCCATGAAAATCCAGCGGTGTTACCGCAGATCACGCGCTATGGCTTTGGCAAAGGCCCGAATGGATTCTGTGCTTCTTATACAGGTATAGACTTGATATACGTGTCACATTGTATGTTTGTTTCTGCTTTTTAATTAGTGAATTACACAAAATTTCCTTAGCATGATGAGTTTATAAACTGAGGGTATCTTGTCATTTGCTGGGTTGGTAAAATTAGGTTCTTTCGTAATGGTGTGGTCCAATAAATCTTTTCTTCTTTGGGCCAAGTTTTTTCCATTGTCTTTCCAACAATTGAATTAGAACTCTTCAAATTTATCTTTCCACGACGGAAGTTTGTTAGGGTTATTAAGGTAAAACTCTGGATAGATATCTCACTGCCTATTCAGTTGAAAAACTCTCCTGTGTAAACACTCAGCGACCGAACTTGATTTTAAGGGAGAAAGATCTGCTACAAAGCGAAGTCAAATCAGGTGAGAGTCGAAGGAGTGGTAAAAATACATCACCTCAACGATATCCTTTGCATATTTTGCAAGCTTCCCAAAACTTAAGTGAATGAACTCTTCTACTTTCCAATCAGAATTTCCAGTTTCCTGTGTAAATGGTATACGGTAGCCTCGGTGACTTTCTGTTCTGAGATTGTGACGTCATCCGACCTTGAATTTGAGCTCTCAGCGTTGTTTTAAGGCGCTGACTGCGTCGACCACCGAGTCAACTTGCTTTCTTAGTACTGTATAACTATAATGGGTCGACATTCTCTCTATAAATTTTAAACGTTGATTGTGTTCTATCCAAACAGTATTGGTGGCACGGTGTTATGGAACGAAAGCGATTTGTTAAGCTCCGCGCAACTGCTGTCTTCCTCCAAAGAGCAGCTCGAAGGATACTGGAAACGAAAAATAGAAATGCTGCGAAGATCCAGGCCCTAGTCCGAGGTGCTATAACCAGGAAACGCATGAAAAAGATCCATCAGTCTGCGCTACAAATTCAGGTGAGTGGGGAACAGGGTTTGGTTATAAGTCCCGAAACTCTCCTTCTTATGATGATGTGATCGTATTTTTGAGATGTGTCAGTGATTTAATATCGCGCAATAACAATAGACCGGCTAAGAAGATTTGAATTCTCTGGAAATGTGCAATACATTATTTTGCAGATCCAAAGAAGCTAACGACCGAAATTGACCGATAGATAGTATGATTGAGTATGCACCGAAAAGCTTGATTGGCTATAATTCAGTGGGAACTGTTACGTATTCCCTTGGCAGGTGAAATAAAAAGTATGAAAAAAATCGCCCGTTCCTTCGGTCGAGTGCAGAGGCGATAAGCACGAAAATAAAGGGAGTCATTAACTTAACTGAAATTGTTGTTTATCTTCCTCGTCTTTTATGTTGCTTATTTTGTAAATCATATTCAGGTTGCGCGCACAAGTGTCGCAGATAAAAATGACAAAGTCTTACTGCACTTTTCAAAAACACGTTCTGAAGTTCAAAAGCCGCCTTCATAATTTCGTTTTTCGCTACCGTCAATCATAGTTACGATCTCAACCAGTGAACCTTGAAACACATAAACACACAAAACGGATTTAAATCCACAAATCACAAACCATGACTTTTTGAACCCGTTGAATTAAACTTTGTTTACTAAGAGGTCCGCTAGGATAATTGACGGCGGTGGAGAACGCAAAAGTCTGTTGGCTTTTGTACTTCTGAATTCGCGTGGTTTTGAAAAGCGCAGTAAAAATGTCTTTTCGGATCTCTAGGCCTTCTGGCGTGGTTACCGAATCAGAGTGGAAGTGTCCTCTCTCAAGGTAAAAAGAGCGCGAAAGCGCATCAAGTCTGCCAATGCTGCAGCAACGGAGTCTATGAAGCTTTGTAACCGCACAAGATCTGCTCTGGACTTTCTGCTTCAATGTAAGAATATCAGCAGGATTGTGGGGTCGCTGGTTAATCTCGGTGAGTGAACTCTAATATAGCGCTTTGTTCCTCTAGACTTAAATTCACTCCAAATGTACGATTGCGCTAAGACTAGTATTCCTGGAAACATATAGCCCGCATTTGGATACCACAAAAAAACGGCAAGCGGTCGCGTGTCGTGAAGGGAGTCGAAAAACTGGAAGGTAGCAAGTAACGTGAAGTGAATGTAATATTAATTTTATTACTTCTAATAATAATAGTCCTTTTAATCCGAATTTGATGCTACATCGGGAAACGAACAAAAAGTAGGTGAGCAGTTCTCATAAAAGAAAAAGTTACACCACTGGTAAATGTTGTTTCACAGTGAGAGAAACTGGGGAACTTCTCTTCATGTGAAACTACAAAAATGAGGAATACGAAGGCTTGTATAATTATTCTGTCGTTTCTAAGAGAACTGTAAGTTTTCAAGTTGAACTGTTCTGTTCAATGAATGCATCGCTAAAGTGAACTTTATTTTCGCCCTCAGAGGTCGTTACTCGTCTATCTGAGGTTTGCTGTCAACAGGTTGTTGATGACGGAGCGCTCCCTGTTATTTTTAAAGTTCTCAAGAAATGTAATCGTAGTCTGCCACACTTGGAAGTCATCAAGTATTCGGTGTTAATACTCTACAATGTTGTAAAGGTAGGAAAATTTGTCTTTGTCATGTTGAGTTATTTCCTCTCTTCACACTGCACAATACTGGAATAAAAAAAATGTCTTCAAACCAGCTCCCATTTGTTATAGAGGTTCTTGCTTCTCGCGGATATTTTACTTTGACGTGGATTAGCTCTCTTCCCATTCGTTGACGTAGTTGAAATGGTAAAGAAAAAAATGTTTCCACCTACGTATGTTTTACGAATGTAAATGGTGGGGATCACACCAATGATTAGAGAGAGACCATGACTTCCTCTTTAATTTCTTCCCGTGCGCCGAGATTGGTCAAGGCAAACAAAAAAGAAGTGCCACAATGCGTCAGAATTGTATTATCAATAGAGATATTATCAAAAGGTTGGATCTTGATAAGTAAGGTCGTTAGTTCGGGGTGGAAATTGACTCACCTTAATTATTTTTTTTGTTAATTAATATATTTATTTATGATTTCTTTAGTATCCATCCCTGTACCGTGCCGTTTATGAGGAACAGGATTCTATCGACACTCTGGTTCATTTGCTGGTGAATCTCAGGGACAAGAGTTTCATTTTCTCCAAAACCTGCTGCCTTCTCGTCGTACTTTGCAGCTACTCGTCCATTGTCCAGGACATTCGCAACATGCAGAAAATTACTGAAGACATTAAAGGTGTATACAGCATAACTGAACGAAACCACAAACTCGAAACAAAGAGGAACATGATCAGATCCAAAGTAGACAAGACCATGAACCAGTTACCCCCACCAACTCCTTGTAAACACACTCCGTTCAAGGGAAAGAAATCCCATAAGGTCAAATGGCAGAATCGACTGGACCTAGTGCAGGATCCTTTGGAAGCTGTGAGACTACTCGTGCGGAAACTGGATCTAGTTAAGACTGATGAATGACGACATCATTAGAAGTTACATACGTTAGTGATCGTTACTTGAATGGACAGCTTTAAATATTCTTCGTTCATTATTATCTTCTACAAGGTATTATTTTCAGTTTTAACTTCTTACAAACACCGTCTGTTTTACTTCATATTCGAACATGAAAGATGGTGATGTATATACGCAAAGGAAAACAGTTTTATTAAGAATTTTTGTCATTTTCTCAAAACGCGGAAGGTATTTAGTGTAGATAAGAACAAGAGCAAGTTGTAATGGCCGTGAGAAATTACTCTAAATGACCTCCTCAAGTACTGTGAAATAGTCAAACACGGAAAAAGTCTCGTAAAATATTGTATATCCGTATTGTTTTTAGCATTTAACGTCAAAAAAGGCCCTTTTACTGAGGTCGGTTCTTTCAACTGCAACCACAGCAATCCACCATGTAGCATAATTTTAGTTAGAAAAAGATATTCCAAGACAGGACGTGCATAAACCGTTCGTGTACAGTACAAACCAAAGGGAAAGTAAATTTTAAGACAGAATGTCTTTCCAAAACAAGATCATGAAAGGTTCTTTGCTTTGTCCTTCGTGTTCCAAAAGTAAACTTATTTCCCGCCAGGGTACCAGTCAACTTGGGGATCAAAGACGAGGGAGGAACGTGAGAGAGACTCTGGGAATAAGGTTGCGCTTCTCTTGCTCACAAATGGGGCGTGTGAATAGAGGATGACACGCGGGAGGAGACCACGCGTGTTCCTCCCTCGCGGCGATTGTCAGCACTTTCGCCCGAAATATCTCATTGACCATTTTCACTGAGACCACAATCCGCCTTGTATACCCCCAAAATTTTATATAACCATTCTTGCCAATTTATTACAGTCGTCCCAAACGAAATCGATGACAATAGTTGTGCATAATTTTGGCGGGTAAACAAGGTGCATTATGGCCTCGTTGAAAATGGTGAATACGCCTGTTACGCTAGCCTGCGTTGCAGACGCTCTAAACCTTCTGCTGTTTATATACAAATGGTTTAGACGATGCGTGGGCCGGCTGCAACGCAGGCTACTGTTACGCAGGCCAGACTCGATCCAAAGCCAGGAACTTCGAAACCGCGCAATAACCCGGCGAATGAAATGATATAGCAGCTGTGCCAGGCTTTCAGATAATATGGGGGTCGCGAAAACAATAGTGTTCGCTTACAACAACTTTGCTATTTTTGCGCGACTACGACGTAAAAATGCCTAGTTTCTCGTTTTACGGTGAACATAAACACGCAACAAGAAAATTTTATTTTTCTTTCTGAACCTGGTTATGGTCCCTTGGAATTCAACTTCTGAAGGGTTTGCCTACATTTGACGCAGGAGGTGGGCAGGAATAATTGCGATATAGACTGATAGAACGCAAATTCACTCTTAAAGCTACGTTCTCGTTGCCCGCGTCGCGTCATTGGATCTTAAAGTCCCTATTAGAGAGATAAGAGACATTAAGATTCACGTTTACGCCAAACGGCAGACGTGAATCTGTACCATGTGACCAAGTTTCCCTCTTATTTTTCGTTTACCGTTTATTGCTTCTACAAAAAATAAGTAGTTTTAAACCAGCTTTATCCATAAGAATCGCTCTGGACTGTTTGTATCTGCTTATTTTCTATTCTGAGAAATTCTCAACTGACGTTTGCCGTTTGCCGTAAACGTGAATCTTAATCTCTATAAAATGCACGTTTACCGCAAACGGCAAACGTCAGACTCAAGTTGAGAACTTGTCAAAACAGAAATAAGCAGATAAAAACAGTCCCGAACGATTCCCATGGTTAAAACTGCCATAAAACTTTTTATTTTTATGAAGAAGCAATAAAGAGTAAACGGAAAATAAGGGGAAAACTTGGTCACGTGGTACAAATTCACGTCTGCCGTTTGGCGTAAACGTGAAACTTAATCTCTCTATTATCTCCTAACATCCCTCACTCGCGATTTTCGCTCATCTCCGGCAACCTCCTCGTTCTTGCTCCCCGCACAGTCTTGCGAAAACGTGTGGAGGAAGCAGACATAAGGTCACGTGTATAGCTGATTCAATAAAGGTTGCTTTGGGCATTGATAATTGGGCACCGGGATTTATTGTTTTATGGTCACTCAAGCAATCATGGTATTGTTCTGTATGGGCAAACGCCCAATGCCAAATTGCCAATGACCAATTTGCCTAAGCAACCTTTATTGAATTAGGTAAGAAACTCATAAGGGGTTAGGTATAATTCACTCTCCTCCAACTTAAGGTTAAACTCTCCTCTCATCCGACTTGTACCCAGCCGTCTCTCACTATCTCTCTCTAGCGGCGCGCGGGGTGTGGTGGGAAGGAGGAAAGCGAGGGAGAGACTCTTCCTCCCTTTTCCCTTCCCATCACCCCCTGCTCCCGCCACGCGCGTTACTCGAAGACGACTGGGGACGAGTCAGCTCCTCTCATAGTAATTAAGTATGTGAGGAGTCGAAGTTGCGTAAGATGAAGACTGCAGCCTCCATGCTTCAAGATAGTTGGAAAAGTAGCGGATCGAGAAAACTAGCACGCACATCTTTTCCGTTTCGCGTGCCTTTGTTTTCGGCTGTCCTTACTATCTAGGAGCCTGCAAAAGTTTATGTAGATTGCAACGTTCCTGGAGAAAAGGACAAGAGACTGACAAACGATTGGAACGTTTACAGATGTCACTGTGATACTGTTCATATTTTTGAAAGTACAAGCACAGTACTGAAAAGAACACTCCTTTTCTCCATAATCTATCTTTCTCCTTGATTCTCATTATTCGGTAATTCGTTTTCTTCTTGACCACAGCTAGCAGGTCACCGTTCAGTTAGTCTTAATAGTTATTTTATAATCTTTCTCGTATGAAGGTAGCCCATAACAGCCATGCATCTCCGGTTTGGCTATGTCTTCTTGGATTTCTTCGTTTTCGATTTATTCTTGGGTACATTACTGGCCTTTTTGTCTTCTTTTTCGCAGCTTGTTTTCAGTTTCTTTGTCGATTTATCCTTTTTTGGTTCCTGCCAAGAGCCAAAATGAAAACAGCGCTAAATTGTACCATTACACAAATTAAGGAAAAATGCCTGAACTTTCGGGTGTGCAATTTATACTTGCTAGAGTCACCGGTGCTGAAGTAGACTTCAACAAAATCTGAAAAGCAGGGAAAGAGTTGGGCGAGATTTCAGTAATTATTTTTTACAAATCCCTGACTGCGGTCACGAATATACATTGTTAAAGCACTGCAGATTTCTCCAGGAGTATTAATCGAAGGCTAATTTGGTGTTTCAGTGGGGTATTTTCAAGATAGTTTTTTAAGCTGTTCACCTGCCATGGCTCTTAAAATGGAGTGATTCATAATCTGGCACAACGCAACGCCACCTAACAAAGAAGTGGAGAATGCACTTAACAGTTAATGCTGCCCCTACTTTTTACCTTGATCGTCCTTTTAAAAGTATCCTGGTTTTTTGTTTCATGAATCTCATCTTCCTCTGTTGAGAACAATAAACGATTGATTAGAACTATTTTCACGTAACGGCCACCACATCAAATGTTAAGCACTCTCAGATTCACGTTCACGACAAACGGCAAACGTCAATTTGTATTTATCAACATTAAATATACAAAGCTTCATGTTAGGGTCATCAACAAAAATTATTTTGGACAGTTTTTACCTGCTCATCTCTTTTATTTGAGAAATTTTCCAATGGGATGTTGCGTTTTGATGTTGCCGTAAACGCGATTCTCTATTTGCTTTCGCCTGAGCACTTAAGATCCAAGACAAAACTGGAAAGAGGACCGCACTTTCAAATAAGGAACTAGAGAGTAGTACCCCACGCAAGCGTCTTACCGAAGTGGTGAAGAGCAATGAAAGACAGTTACTTTCAGAGGCGAAGTCAAAGTAGACCAACTCAAAACTCTCGTTAAAACATTGCGAACACGCCCAAGTAAGGGTCCACAATTTCTGACTACTGAAAGTTTGTCTCCCGCGCTGCTTGTTTTGTCTGGCCATGGAAAGTCCCTCCTAGCCTGCAGAACAGGCGCTTTATGAGCCAAGCGAGGCGAACGAGGTATTTTGCGCCAAGCGCGAAACGAGTGCATAGCGCGAGACGAGGGGAGGAGAAAAACGGCTGCGTGGGAGACTAACTGAAAGGATACTGCTCTTTGTTCGCAATGACAGATCTGTCCATTAGACCCGACCCGATTACACTATGGCTTTCGCTAACTGGCGGTTTCATTGTATTTCGCGATAGAGATGGCGAGATAACCTGAACGGACTCTAAAGCCACCCAATACAATCGCCCGGAACTCGCCAATATCCTTTGCTCCCTTCCCTAGCTGCTTATCTAAAGGGTTGAAGCAAGAAATAGCATGTTCCAGCCATTCAGTCCGTGAACACGAGCAGCTTGGTACAGCTCTCTTCCCAGTCCTCGCCCGCTCCTTTTTTCCCTTTAACTTTAGTTTTGCTTGTCGTAACCTCCTTGCGAGCTCTCTGGAGGCGGGGGTGCATGAGGAAAGAAAAAGCGTATTCCCTCACCCCAACTCCACTTCCCTGAGTTTGCACAAGGCTTTGAGCTCCCCGACTAGGGTCTATTTCTTGCAGTAGTGTAGCGAGACAAGTTGAATCTCCCCTAAGTGAGACAATTTTGCATGAGCAAGTCTTGCAACGCTTTCGTCGCATCAAGTAAAGCGCGACGTAGAAACACTATCACGTCGGTTCTACTTCTCGCCACGCCAGCTGTAACGTAAGAAGACGTAAGCGTTTAGAGACATGTTCATTTTAAAGGGTATTAGGGGCTGTTAACACCAGCGCAAGTTTCAGACGAGGAGACGCCACCGTGAAAACGCCGCCACCTCATTCTCGATCCCAGAACTCTACTCTATTGCGCATGACTGCGGACGAGAAACAGAACCTTGAGCTCTAGAATTCGAGAATGACACTATCTTTGATTGACTACGCGCTACACGTTTTAGTCCATCGAGAGACCAATTTCTACCGAAACGTGTGGTCATTCTTCGTTTATATGATACCGATGCGAGATCTAGCGCAGAATGAAATTCTTGCTCCGACACAGTAACTGTGGTGAACTCGTGCCGGTATGACTCAGCCGAAATAACATTTTTTGGTGGTATTAAACATGTAAATGAATACATAGCCATGCGAGAGAACCGGAGTGGACTTAAGCCGCCACAAATTTTCCCAGGTATCATGTAAACCAGTGTGCGACAAACGCAAACTGGCAGGTAAAAGAGGTAAACATTGTTGTGAAACGCTCTAACAGATTCCCTATCCCTAAATTTTAAGTCTTCTAAAAGACTAGTGTAGAGATAGGGAATTTCACAACAATGTTTACCTCGTTTACCTACCAGTCTGCAAGTCTACAGTCAGCGTTTGTCGCACACCGCATGTAGACAACCCCTTTAGACTTGGAAACGTTCTCGTGCAAATTGTCACGCAACGGAAGAAATAAAACAACACTAAACCTTCCGAAGAGAATTCTCCTCCAGAATCTTCTTCATCTTCTGTCTTTTTTCTTTTTGCTCCTTCCTCGACTTCATCTTCTGAATCAGATTCAAGGTCAGATGGAACCCACATTTCTTCATCTGATTTATCATCTTTAGCCTTCTGTTGCTCGCGATCTACAAAATTGACAGCATTATTTTAGAGAAAAACATCCCCTAAAAGCGAATCTTGTTCGACTTTTAAACGATTTTATTTTTATATCATCAGGGTTTGTACTTAACCATTTGCCAGTCAATTTTCTCCACAAATTCATAGAATGGCAAGGATGTGAACAATAACAAGAACAAATATCTCTGAATGTGAACAGCAATTTCACCTAAAAATATAAGGCAATGGATACTTTCCAAAAGCAATTTAACTGCCAAAGAAGAGATAGATATCAGGCCAATAACTCCATGCAATAATTTTGCATTTGTTCCACATCGACTTCCAAGTCTGTTTGTCTGAAATTCTGAAATGACCTGTCCCATCCCAGCAAAAATTGGCCCCATTGAAGTGGGAATGGGACATGCAAAGCCTTCTGGGGTTCTGTCCCCCATTTTTTGACAAAGATGGAAGGTATTTCTTGATTGGGCATTGCCCTCACGGGCAGCCAAATAATGAGGCATTAACAAATCTAGTCGACTAATTACATTGTCATTCTTACATCAGAAAATTGCACTATTGAATGAGCTTTAAAACTTCATACTCACGCTTTTCCAACGCTCTCAAGAAACGCTTTCCAGTAACATGTGTTTGAATATGATGAGGCGTATTATTGATGAACTTTTTGGTAAGTTCACAATAAAGCTGACTCCTAAAAAAGATTAATAAAAAAATGAACAATGTAATGACAAGTGTCTGAACCTCACCCACATTTGATCCACACTTGGATCACATGTGACATCATTGGTACATTTGTGATGCAGCTGGTGTCTCTTTAAAACAGAGGTTTCAAAAGAATTCTCTTAAGTTTTCATGTAAACTACCTTCAAATTATGAACTTAAACTCCCAGTTTCACAAATCAAAAAGGTGGCTTTTGAACAATCAGAGAAATAACTAAATATATTTCCCAAGGAGCAAGCACACCATAGGTTTCCAAGCAATTTTCCCAATTAATGAAACTGTCAAACTTGAAAACTTATGGCAGACATTTTCATTGTAGTCCCCTTCCTTTTTTGTTAATACTTAGCCAAAAGGAGTTTTTAACAGTTTCTATGTAATATCATAGTAACTTTTAGCACTTGACCATGCCATTCTTGGTAGATTCCTGTTGATTCTGACACTTTGCTTGCATTTTCAATTCACACCGAATGTAAGAGACACAGCCCCTTTAACCTGTGAAACATACCAGTTTTTTCTGATGGCAGAAGAATATCGAAACCAAATTTTGCACAGACTTACCACTTGAATTGGCAGCCTTTCAATCTACATTGTGAGTGTAAGTTAACTAAATTTATCTTAATATTATTACATCCTTCTAAATACAAGCCTGATTCTCAGACGTCTGAGGTTGTTCGCGGCCTCTTCACTTCCTTGCAAATAACAAAAGCCTTTTGTTTAAAAGAAAGTCTTCGATTGAACTGAGTTTTGACAAGCATTCCACTTTATCATTGTTTTCCTCAGAATCAAGAAACACTAAGTAAGTCATGATTTGGTTCAGTTTTAAACAAAAAAAGGCCTTGCATCTGGTGGAAGAAAAGCCTCTTTGCTTCAAAGTATTATGATAAACTTGCCTAACTTAGTTTCTCACAAACCTAGAGCTCATTTAAAGTACAATTGAACCTCTCCAAAACAGCCACCTTTAGGAGAGAAGAAAGTCACCGTTGTAGAGAGATGGCCATTGTAGAGACTTATAAACAAGAGTCAATGTATGGACTTTCTGCCAAAAAAAAGTGGTCGTTGTAGAGAGGTGGCCGTTTAGTGGTAACCTGATTCTCAGACGTCCGGGGTCGTTCGCGGTCCCCTCACTTCCCTCCCTGGAGAGAGGAGAGCGAAGGGACCGTGAACGACCTTAAACGTCTGAGAATCAGGCTAGTTTAGTGGAGGCTCAACTGTAATTTTGATCAAAGCTAATAACGGATACATACGGTACCTATTTTTCCTACTTGGTACTAAAAATTCCTTATATTCTTCAAATCCAGGAGATGTATTTGGAACATCTTTGACCAGTCGTTGATATTTTTTTCCTCTTGTGTAGTTTTCAAGGTCTGATATTCTAGCTGGCAATTCATGTCCTGTAAGCTTACACTTCACCTACAAAGGATTAGGAGAGTGGATTTATCACAGTTAGCTGAAAAAATTAAATGTTATGGTCACTATAACCTCTTTACAATAGTAGAGAACAATAATAGAGCACCAGAGCACTACAAATCCTTTTTACACCAGCCCCTAAGTTGTAAGTGGGTGTCACACTTGGGTGTCCTGTGCCTTTCTCACTTTGCTCTGGGGCAATGAGATGTTATCAAGACGAAAGTGCTAATCTTCTTCTTTACTTTTTCAGTCCTCCTGCCCCGACTTACTGCTCCTGGGTCTTCCAATAGATTAATAATAAAGGACCTGTGTGACTCCGTCAGTCGGCTCCGTGCGTCCGCTCCGACGCGTGAAGGACAGCATACACGTGGAAATCGTAAAATTATTTCAAACGTTATGATACTTTCGTATTTTGCTAAGTACTACTTTTGCCGATGCTTTAGGTACCTTTTTCCTGTTCTGCTCGTCTTTAAAAAGTTCAAAGTGAGGATGGTCTGTAAGAAACTTTTTGAGGGACTTTTCGTCCGCCATATTTATCATTTGCCTCGAGCTGATAGCGAGGCAGGGTACACAGGAGGGAGGGGTGGTAATTACAGTTTCTAAGTATTTTTGTTTTTGTTTTTGCTATTGTGTGTATGTTTGTTTTCTTTTTCCACGCTATGGAAATGTTTTAAAATCAATGAAGAAATCGTTAAGTTAAAAAACTATTCTTCTTATCTCATCAGGACATTTAAAATGGAGTGAATGTAATCCCCTTCACTCCCCCACTAAAATATGATTTTGTTCACCGAAAATGATCACCATAGCGAGAAACAATATGGCGGATAAAAACAGACATGTAATCGTTTCATAACGTTCTTGCTCGCTTATCTGATGGGAGAAAACCAAGCGATGGATCAACTAAGAAGCAATCATGGCTGATAGTGGAAATTATTCTTTTTCCAGCCACAACCTTCCATCACCTGCAATGAGGCAGTCTTTCAATAGACCTGCGATGATGTTACAGAACAGCAAATTACAGTCACCGGAAAACAGATTTGGTTTATCGCCAAACAAGGCAGCTGAAAGTCAAGACGATAAACCTTTTACAACAAAGGAAGGAGATACTCAAAGGGTGAAATTTGCGCCTCATCCACCATCTTCACCGCGAGCAAACGCTCCTGATTCTAAAGTCCATCGCGTTGCGGGGTTAAATTCAAAAGGAGTCAAGAGATCCCGCCACGAATCGCCAAGGAACTCTCCATCTGGATCAGAAGATGAAAGGAGAATTCATAAACAAGTTAATAATGTGATACTTGATCCTTTGCCCATGAGGCGAGGAAGTACAGGGAGTTTGAATAGTATGGGGTCCAGCGAATCTTTGGGTAGTCCTCGTCAAAGAAATCGAAATCTTAGGGGAGTAGAACCTCTACGAGATATCGTTTCCGATAAAGATGTCACTGGTAACTTTAAATCATACCAGAATAGAGCAAAAACTGACGATTCTGGTAGAAAAATTTTGAAAAATGTGGTCCATCCTATGAGAGTAACACATGACCAAACTGCAAAAGGAGAAAGAAATGTTCAAGAAACATTACCTGTGAAAGTGAATTCTGAGCGGTCAGTTTCTTTAAACAATAAAACTCCTTCTGAAGATGAGGTCACACTATCATCTTCTAATGACAGTTTGACAAGTGTGAGTGACAGCGAGGAAGATTTAGTAAGTGATGGCGACATACCACGAAACAGGAAATTAGAATTAGGGAAACATAGAGATCCTAATTCAACTCTTCCCACCGTTCCTGGTCAGCTCAATGATAGAACTCTTGCATCAAACTCAACTGGTTTGTATGAAAGTATTCATCCACAGAAGGTTGATAATGTGCGGAATAACTCAACCTCAGATTTACGCAATCTCAGTAAGGAACTGGAGAGAGTTGCTACTAATGATGAGAAGTATGGATCAGATACAGACCTGTCTTTGCGATCAACAGGACAGGCCTCAAATCTCTCCACCATGTCCATGTTGCCGCGTGTGTCTGCACAGACAGCACGGACAAGAAGTGGCAACTTTTTAAAAGAGGAAATGGAGCGGTATCTGCCTGACCATCAAATTGGTGTGTTTGTAGCTACCTGGAATATGCATGAAGAAAAGGTTAGTTGTATGTTTAAACAAGTTCCAGTAATATGTCATAGACATGACTATCTCATATGGAAGACCATGAATTGAACATGATATATGTTTTTTATCCCTAAAGTCAGTTTATATTAATCTTGTGACAAATGAGAAGGCTATCAGTCAACATTGATAACATTAGTCAGCTAGGAATAATGACAGGTTAAAAGTGTGCATTCAGCCTGTTTGGTAGTTGTTGGAAACGTTTAGGAGCACTGGTGTAGAAGTGGGTTGTGGGTGTGTCTGACTATGCTATAATTTGAAACTATTTGCAGGCACCTGCTAGTAAGATGTGCGATGTTAGCACAATAATAATTATTATTAAATATAATAATTATAATTAATAATTATTAGAATTATGTTACATAAAGAGCTATAAAATTTCAAATATTCAAATAATGACGCATTTAAAAGCACACACTTTGTGTGGAAATAAAATCACCATGTTTAAGAATTGAAAGGTAATGTAGATTAAGTAATTGATGAAAAATAAACATTAAAATTTAACATAAGAGATATGCTTGATTAAAAGAATTGAGATAGATAGTGTATGTTTGTCCTCCCGTATGCTTTTGCCATATGTCACTAACTAAAGACAACCAGTGATAATGTTAGCTTTTTTATTGTCAGCATAAAAAATGGTATGATTATTTTTCTATCAAAACAAACTTGTAGTCAGCTTTGCTTTCATGAAAACTGTAAAATGAGGTGTTAACTTAAAATGATACAACGTAGTCTTTTATTTGTGTTCTCTACAGGAAGTTCCGTTTTACTTGGATAATTTTCTGATACCAGATTCCACTGACTTCCTACAAGATCTTTATGTTATTGGTTTGCAGGAAAGCACATCAATGAGGTAATAGATTTTGGTTTCACGTTATTGCTGTTAAATGATGCAGGCCGGGATAAGATCATTGCAACAACATTTTTAAAGTCTATTACAGCCTTAGGTGGCAAGCAAGCTCTCTGGGACACTCTGAGAGCTTGAACAACATCTCTGGAATTTGAATATATCTGCATCAAAAAAGTCGATGTGAAATGTTGATTGGTGGAGGTGACATTAGTAATGATGTCATCACCCATGGCACATGTTTCTCAATGGTTGTTTACATTTGCACTCGTTTCCACTTTACACTGATTGGCAGAAATCTGACAGCTCAGTCGACGGGGAGCCACAGGGAGATTAGAGGTGGAAGTCAAATTCCAGAGACATAGCTGCAAGCTCTCTTTCCATTTCCCGCCCCACTGCCAGAGTGCCCCAGAGAGCTTGCTTGCAGGCTTTTACTGCTTAAGTTCTTATTTTTGCTTCCATGGACCATAGTGTTTTTCCTGAATTTCCAAACAGAGAGCATACCGAATATTGAAGCTGCAGGGAAAAGGCCTCCAAGAGATTGTTATTATTAATAATTAGTAATAACGATCTCTCGTTATTATTAATAAATAGTAATAACAATCTCTTGGAGGCTTTTACCTTGTAGCTAATTAGGAATTATTTGAAATCACTAATGTAAACAATCAAATTTATAATTTAAGAGATTATTATTAATTGTCTATGTTATTGATTGGTGCAATACTGATTTCAAATAATTTCTGAGGGGCACTTTTCCTCATATTTTCAATAATTATTTTGTTCTTTGTTTTGAATTTGAGGGAACATATTAGGTTTAGTAATTAAGAACTATTGAATTCAGCTTTCATATCATCTGAAGAATTATGGAGATTGAGGAGGGCGTTATCCATCGAGGCCATATTTATTGTTATTTATATTAATACCCTTATTCCAGGAAAGAGTGGGAGATACGCTTGCAGGAGACCCTTGGTCCATCTCATGTACTGATGCACTCATGTTCTTTTGGATTGCTGCACTTGGCTGTGTTTATCAGGAGGGAACTTGTTTGGTTTTGTTCTGGTAAGTGTTCTTTTCCAGTAGACAAGTACCCCTAAATATACTCAGAATTAATTCCCCGCTCCCTCCCATTAAAATCAAGAGTGGGAAAACGGCATGATTTGACCTTTGATTTTTTGGGGAGTGGGTTCCTTTTCCATTCTATTCTGTTCAAGATTGTAGCTTGCCACTCCCCGTGAATGAAATACACCCGGGGGAACAGCGAGACAGTGGAGCCAAGCTTTTTAAGAAAACAACCTGATGGCCATCCAGGCTTGAGCCTGAACCATACAAACTCAAAGTTCAAGGTATCACTTCTTGGCCAGGGTACCTCATGATACAAGGTAGATTGCAACATCTTTTTCAAATGGTTAGATGGGATTATTGAGACACAAACGGATGAAGAAAACTCATTACGATTTGATACTCAACAAACTGCAAGGCTGTTATGAGAGAAAAACCATACGCCTTGCTAAAGAAGTGTAAGATTTGTGCAAAAACTAAGACGTCCTTGTTGCCCAAAGGCAAGAGTTGGTCATCTTGGCCACAAGGCATCACTAGCATGCTGCCCTGTATCTGTTTTGACCTTGTATGTATAATGTATTTGTGATTACTTATTATTCATGGATTTTTTCTGTATCAAATAGCTGTGACTGAGGACAGTGTATCAACCAGAGTTGGACACATGATTAAGACCAAGGTTAAGGAAGTGTCTTTTTATCTACAGTTAAATCTCTTCAAATGTAGGAGGCAAATGGTTTAAGGCAGTATGCACTTCAAAGCTTTCATAATTTGTGTCATTTCTCATTTAAACTTGAGTTTTGTAGGTCTGTGTTTCCCCTAAGAGTTTTGGTAAAAAATTAACACCTTTTGGAGGAAATGTTTCAAACACTAGAACTTGCTACTGAAATTTAAATTAGACTCAATTATCAGTAAGTAACTTCTTGTGAACTGATGATTAAGGATGTCATTAGACAAAAAGAGCATTTAACTACTAAAATATTTTTGGAAGAACCAACAGTAGTTGGAAGGGTATGAACAAATTTTTAATGAAGTTGAAGTTTAAAGGTTTTTAGTTTTGGCAAAGGGAGTGAATGGTTAAGTGCTCTAGATTTAAACTCAGTCTCCCCAGGTTTAAATCCTCAGTCTGGCCTCTAGCTTACTAAAGTTGGTCTTGGTAGTGCCAAGTTCAACTCCTCTGGTACACTTGTATTTATAGCTAGCTGGCTCCAATTTGGCCAGCTGGGGCTCTTACTTTCTGCATTTAGTATTAATAAACTAATTTCTGTCCTTATTTGTGAAAACTACTAGGTGACCAGAAATTGTGTCACATACAGCTGTACCCCTACAATATTTACAAAGGCATTTTTTTAGCTTTTGAAGTGTGGTTGTGGTTAAAAAGCAATGCAATAATCGTTCATTCCTGTTTGTGTTTTAATGCTTCTTGCAGGGCGCATTGGCTGTTTCCCTCAGTATATTTGGAACATCATTCCTCTTTATTGATTCACATTTTACTTGTAAGTTTTCTGTTGAATAGAGAAAATTATTGCAATAGTCACAATTGGTGATAAAATTAGTTGAGACACTTTATCCTAAAGGGCCTTTGTGATGTTTTGCCATCTTCAACAGGGGAAAATGAAGCTGGCTTACTATCCCCCATTCCTTCCAGTTGATGTCACACAAGCTGTATGCTGCTTGCAGCTTTGCCTCTGGCTCACTTATTTTCTTGTGCCTCATACTCTGATCTCCACCACTTGGAATGGAAAGTTTTCTTGCAGGCCAACTTTGTTGCTGTGTGTGATACATATTTGTTCTATCTGATAATTAAGAGCAATTGTAGGTCTGGTAATGTGGAATGTAAAATGAATCATTTGATAATAATATTTTTATCGTTTGTTAAATTACCCTGCAGCTGATGAGGGAAAATCTTTGGATCGTGTCAATGATTACAAGACAATCTGCAAGTCTCTTTCGTTATCTCCTGATAACAAACCCAATGCAAGCAATGGTTAGTAGAGCTTGGATTTTCCATGACCTATATTTGAACTTGATGTGTACTACACCAATTGATCATGCATTCTCTTTCAAACTCTGGAAAATTCGGATTGATTCTTCAACAATTTGCAAGTTAGTACAGCCATTCATTTTCTACAGGCTAGGTCTTAGTTTTACATTTGTCCGTCACATTTTTCTTTCTTCTTTCAGATCAGACAGATCTTACGGCAAACTTTGATCGAGTGTTTTGGTTGGGGGATTTTAACTTCCGGGTGACTTTAGAAAGATCAAAAGTGGATGAGATACTTGAGAAATATAAAGATCAGGAAAATCCAGAGTGTAAGGTTGGTATAATCCTTTGAAACATTTCAAAACTTTTATTTGCCCTGCTGCTTTGAACTTCAGAACTTAAAGTGAACTCGAAATTGTTACCAACTAAACTTTTCCACTGCTGAATTTTTTCCAGGAGTTATTGGAAAAAGACCAACTGTTAGATCTCATGGGACAAGGTGACTTTTTTTTTTCCTTTTTTTTTTGTCATTGTATGTCAAAGGTTTTCACTTTTTTATCTTAAAAGTAACTTCGTTATTCCTTTTGTTTTGCAAATCCTAAAATGTATTGATTGACTTGTTATAGCCTGGGACCAGGCTCCGCACTGGGGGAAAATGGCGAAAAAAATCGTTGAGGGCGAAAAAAATGGCGTTCGAAGCGAGCTGAACGGCGGTCAGAGGAGGAAAAAGGCGACCGCTTGCCGTTTTTCTTTTTGCTGCTGCGGAACTTGATTCCAAGCTAGGCTTGTTAAAATTCTCTCAAGGTTTTCTTTTCTTGTGGTGGGTGATTTTTTACAGGGAAAGTGTTTGTTGGATTCAGTGAACAACCAATCAGATTCCTTCCAAGTTACAAGCATGATATACAGAGTGATACATACGATTCATCATCAAAGAATAGAGTACCTTCCTGGACGGTGAGTTGTTACCTATCGAAGCTGACGGGCTCGCAAGCATTGTGCTTGTTTTTCTGGCAAAAGATTAGCCGGTTGTCTGATTCAACTAAACGCAAACTGTTTTGTAATGATTCCTGAATCGTATTCATCTGAGTCTCTCCGTCGTGAAACCTATAAATCCCCCGTGGAAAAAAAAAAAGCGCAAATAAACTCAGCAATATGAAAAATAGCCGGGGAAAACAACCGACGTTTCGCGGGACAACCACTGGTGGAGTCGCGGAATGTTGGCTGTCTTCTCAAGCTGGATAAGAGAACGTGTAACGGTCAAGTTAAAAAAGAATTTGTTCAACCTTTACTGGAAAAAGAGAAACACGTTTTGCAGTGGAGATGTTTTCCGTTCGGCCTTTCCCCTCTCCCCGAAAAAAATTACTTTGTCCATGAAGTTATGATAACGTGGAACTTGTACATTTCGAAATAACGATTTGTTTTGTTTGTTTGTTTGTTTTGCAGGACCGTATTCTTTACCGGAGTAACGATCTATCAAGTATCGAGCCATTAATGTACAGCAGCTGTGTATCTGTGAAGACGTCAGATCATAGGTAAACTAGCTTGCGTGGCAAGCGTTAGCCTGCGTTGCATCCAACCCTGACGCATTTGGCCTGCGTTGCAGCCGGCCCACGCATAGCGCGTCTGCGACGCAGAAGACGCAGACAAGGCAAGCGTCAGTTAGCTTTTTATCGTTAGTTTTTATGGGGTCCTCTCCCCTCTAGTGCGCGCGCGTCTTGAAAATTTCTTCCTTTACCCTGAAAAAACTCTGCGCCTGTTACGCAGGCAACAAGACACATCTGAGTTTTTGTCAAGCATGTTTCTACTTTTGAGCCTTTTGGATAAAGCAATGATCTGTGCCGATGACCTGTGAAATGTTTCGTGCATTTTGTTTTTACCACTAGCACGAGTAATTAGACAACTATGAAATACCAACACTGTGAAATAAGAAGGAGTATCATTTTAAATAATTTTGCAGTGAGTCTTAGTACACGTCCATGCGTTTGTGTTGTTTATGTCTTTATTTTTTCTTCTTACAGGCCTGTATTTGGCATTTATCAAGTCAAACTTAATCCTTGTCCCGACAGGTGAGTTGATCAGCATCTTATTCTCCTTACCAGGATCTTGCACCTTATTCTACTACAAAGTCAAATTATCTAGTTATGAGAATAAGGAGAATGAACACTAAAGTTATGATGTTCCAATTTTTACACGAAGTTTCCTTAATAGTGCCAAAGAAAGTGTATTATGAGCAGTGCTGAGAAACTGAGTCTCGACTAATATTTGGGACCAGTTTGTTCTTTGTTTCTTATTTTCTTTTTTCACCCGTAATAGAATGCAAGTAAAGCCACTTTTTCTTTTATTTATCAGCATTCCCCTGACTGGAGGACAATACATTCGGGATGTTTATGTAGAAGGTATGTTAAACTGTTTCCATCTTGGTCTTAAAACTACCGAGGAGGTACATATAACAGGTGTTATTTTTTCGCGTTTTCCAGGCGAGCGAAGGCAAGCGCGAAGCGAGCGAGGAGCGCCAGACATGTTGCCCGACAGGGAAAGCCCACTTGGGATAAAACAGCGACGTTTTTCTTTTTGAAAAAAGCTGTGCTAAGGTTATGAGAAATATTGTGTTCACGTGCATGGTTCAGTTAGAGATCCATTTTTCTCGAGTCAACGACACACACTCAGTCAGTGTGTGGTCGTTTCCCAGGATCGTGTCGTCTACGAATAAATCTTTTACATTTATGAACAGTACAAGCTAAGTGGATTAAAAAGGTAGTTGACAAGACCGCTGACTTTTGTTCGTTTTTGTCGTGAAACAGCTAACCGAAGACGAGCTGCAGGACCCAGGACTGACGGACAAAGCGCTGTTTGCGTCATTCTCTGAAGTGAACCACATCCGGGAAACATGCTTCCAGTTGCGACAAGTAAAACCTATCTGTGATGTACCTCCAACGTCAGCTCTTTATCATCCTCTGGAGTTATGAATGTATAGAGTCACTGTGACCAAATCCTTCTCCGCGTTCAAAATAGGGACTTTGCCATCGTGGCAGTGTTAAAAATGCAGACTGCGGACTGACTGTGGACTACTGTTTTTAGGGTTAGAATACAATGGGACTATTGTTGTTTCGTACTCATTTACATGGTGAAAACAGTAGTCCGCAGTCTGCGTTCTACATTGACCGCTTTGCCATCCGACAACGGTGACGCCAATGCAATATCGTTCCCAGGTTTCTCCCGTACTCTTTTATACGGGGAGAAGGAGACAACCCTGGGAACGAGGTTGAAAAAACGGAGAAGGTTCTGGAGTCAAGTTTCCGCATGTTGAGTGTGTTGAGCAAAAGATGAGTTTAATGAATTTCCAAATATGAACAGAGCAAGGTCAGCAAGTGTAGAAACATATATTTCAACGGTTCGTAGTGATGTTAGTAGTTTTACAGTGTGTTGCGTTATCATTAATCCTGGTTTCGCACAGGTTTCGTTCGTTGAAAATTTACTTTTGGATCTTTTATTTTTGATTGTACATAAGATAAAATTAATATCAGCGAAATAAAGGTCGCTGCCGCATGCATACGTAATAAAATCAAGGACCCTTTCATGATGTAAATAGTCCAATAGTTGAAAAGTAGTCAACCCAAAGTAAACCAAAAACAAAACAAAACTAAACTATTGAAAGGATTTTTTTATCGTTTTAGCAGTTTGAGATTTGATATTTGATAGACTTGGTATTGTCCTAACAGATTATAAGGACACTAAAATATCCCTCTTGGTCATATCGATCTCTTGATCATCGTTATCCAAAAACAGCAGAAGCAATAGGGCAATTGCACGATGACGTCATTTTACTACAACTACCAGAATCCTTGAGTTTGCTGTTTTCTTGTGCAAATTAAGGCTATTGTTCTTTAATCCTCAGCGGGATTGACAAATTTAAATAACAAAGCAAAACCGAAATGAATTCTGGTAGTTGTAGTCAAATATCGTCATCGTTCAATTGTCCTATTCTAGAAACTTGCATCTTGCGTTGTAGATAGTTAAAATTCAGTTAAGACATCTTTAACTTTAATGGAAAGGTTACTGCTTATATTTAAATTAACGTTATTTATACCTCTTTCTGTAAAGCGGTTTTGTGTTCAGTTTTTTCCGTGGCCCTCACGAAAGTAATGAAACCCAACTGACATAAGGCAAACCAGTTGGCTGTTTACAATTGTGCAGGGTCGAGAATTTGAACTCGAGCCTACCGAGAAGTACCGTATTTATTCGATTAAACGCCGCGGCGTTTATTGAATTTTTAGCGTTTCCGATGCGGCGTTTATTCAAGGGTGGCATTTATTTGAGGGCGACGTTTACTTCGAAATCACTGACAACAGTCATTTGTAAATATTATGTAATTGAAAGGTTTCAATTTTTTCTTACTTTGCTGTCATAGAATCGTAAATGTCTGGGTGGTGTAAATTGCGTAGTTGTACCGAGTTTTTTCCTATTATCCTCGAATAAACGCCGCATTCTTCTGATGAAATGCGGCGTTTATTGGTAGTTTGGTTTCCATCTGCGGCGTTAAATCGAGGGCGGCGTTTTATCGAATAAATACTATAGTCTCCCTCGCAGGCGCTCGGGCTGGAGTCATGCAATGCTTCCCGTCCTCACGAAGGGGAGCATTGCGTGACTCCGGCCCGAGCGGCTACGAAGAAGACTAACCGAGAAGCAAATTCAGAAAGCTTTCTGGGCGAGAATCTCACTGGGGACTGACGGATCTAAAGTCCCTTGCTCTGATCACTCACTCATGATGGTAAAGCCACTAAACACCGGTGAACCGATCAAATTCGCCGGAATTATATGTTGCAGTTACGACTTGGCTTTTTCTTCGTATATTTTGATACTTTATTTTTCTTGTCACAATTGAATTTAAAGCCGCTGTATGAATATTTATTTTGCCTAGTGATGGCCTACCCTGAAACAATTATTTATCCAATGGTAATCTAAGAATAAGGTTGGGTTATATGAAGAAAATCTTTGTGTAAAAAAAAATGGTGAAAAATAAACTGAAAATAAAAAGGAAGCATTAAGCTTGAAGTTTATATACAACAACTGTGCTTTTTTAACTCTACCTTCGATTCTGGGTCCGTTGATATTGTGGACGGGTTCAATCACCAATGATTGAAAGGAAACTAAACACTTCCCCACTCCAAATGGGTGCAAGCTTTCGGCGCAACGATTTTTGGGATCTTTTTGGTGGACAACCGTCACTTTTGATTGGTTAATGGTTGCGTTGAATACCATCGACCAATCATAACTAACGCTTGTCCAACCAAACCATCCCAGAAATCACTGCGGCCAAAGCTTGTACCCATGCTCCCTAAAGTTTCCGAAAAGGGTTATATTCACACTACAACACCAAAAAACATCCATATTCTGGAAGACTAGAAAAGACTGCGACCGAATGCCTCACTGGTTTCTTTGAAACTCGTGGAAACTACGTCCTGTCAATATTGTGAGCCATTCCTGTTTCGTCCTCTGGTTAATCCAGGGTTATTTAGTGAGAGCGTAGTACCAAAGCGGGCGCAATCTGGTACCCTGAACCTTCAAACACCAGCCGATCCTATAGATTTGCTTACAAAGATTGTAAAAATACAGTGTTATGAGTCATCATTTTGAATCATGTTTAAAAAATCGTGAAAAACAAAAAGCAAACCTGTTTCAGCCACTACTTTGCTAGAAGCTTTAACATCCGACGTAATTACAACTCAAAGAACAGTCAAACTAATTAACATTGTTATCTTTTAACTTTGACTAAAATAATATCATTTTTGTAGTGGCCTTGTCTATTTCCTCAAATTCTTCAGGGTTGCATTTTTAATTGTTTTCCATCCTAATTTACTTATTCAGCCGATCAAGCGTACCCTTAGACCGGAGAACAGAGAATAACTTTTCAAGGTTCTTACTCTTTTCCTCCGAGGACGCGGATTGGCTTACGTCAACGTTCATAAACTTTACTCAATCCATGTTAGAGCTATTCTTTTCTTAAAAAATAAATTACGCACATTTTATATATGAAAGACCTTTTTACTCATTTGAAAAGTATATAAAAAACTTCTCTCGAGGTAAAAAAAAATATTTATCTAATACTATTCGCAGCTTTTTTAACTACAGATTTTTCAAACGTCCAAAAATATATTCTTTCATCTGTTATATTACAAATACTCGGTCATATCTTTCTATTAACAATATGTACATATTCTATCAATTTCTTGGAACAAATATGATTTGAAAGAAAAGTAATGATTAAAACTGTACTAGTACTTTTAATAACTCGGATTTGCGCGTCTTGGAATTCTGGCATTCACTACATTTTGCCTTGGGATCCCTCCTTTGGCGCGAGTCTAGGCTTTGTTCACCTTACGCAAAATGGCCTTCGTCCCGTCTCGAAAAATAAAAATAGCCTTACTCCAGCCT